ACCAAGCACTAACCAACCATTTTTAACCTTTTTAACCACCGGTGGAACAACCATCTCTGCTTCACCGTTCTCGCTTTGACTAATCGGTGCTTGAGACGAAGAAGATGATGACGTGGCGTTTGGTTTAGTTGAACCGAAGAACGGAGAAGAAGAACGTGAACCGCAAGATCGGTTAATGATCTCACCGCAGAGTCCAGGGTTTGACGAAAACGAAGACGCGTTGAATCGTAACAGAGTCGTTGTAACCGGAACTAAACCGGTGAGATTGTTACCGGAAACGTTAAATGACGTCAGAGAAGAATGATTTAACGGTGGGAGTGTACCGTTAAATCGATTAAACTCGAGATTCAAAGAACTGAGTCGACTCAGAGCATTGATCTCCGACGGAATCTCATCGGAGAAGTTGTTAAACGATAGATCAAGTTCGACCAACCGACGAAGAGAAAGAATAGAACCAGAGAGAGTACCGGAGAAACGGTTCTTGCTTAGGGTTAGGGTTTTGAGATTGGTTAAAGGAGATAGATCAGGAACCGAACCAGAGATTGAGTTATTCACAAGGCTAAGAACACGAAGCTGATCAAGACGACTAAGAGTCTCCGGTGAGAAACGTCCTCGAAGTCCAACGCCGTCGAGGATAAGACGAACGACGCGATCTTGAGAGCAGTCGACGCCGCGCCATTGACAGTAGTCGTAAGGCTCGGTGAGAGAGTATAGAAGCTTGTTGTCGAGATCGGCGGTGGATTTGAAGGAGAGAAGTGCAACAGCGTCGGAAGGTAAGAAGGAGTCGAAGTAGTTCGTCGCCGGGAGAGAGTATGCGGCGAAGATACGGAGGAGGAAGAGGAGAGAGTAGAAGAAGAGTGTCATTTTGTGTGTGTGTTTTTGTGTTACGGAACAGAGCATCTGTGTCAGTTATTATTCTGAGAGCTTTTTCAATATGTATAGTCTTGTGGCACGCGTGTATATATGCGTTGGATGATTTTTTATTCTTTTTGAATCATTTTACTGTGAGTTCTCAAAAAAAATAAAAAAATCCATTATGATATTCAAGAAAATGAACAATAAAATATTATGATATTCAAGAAATGAACTCAATTAGTGAATTATATACATAAAAGAACTTCAAAGATTGATTAACAATCGGACCTTAATGTGTATTTCAGAACCGTCCATGTGTAACGTGTTCGTAGATATAATTTGTTGTTGTAGACAATAAAACATATAAGTAGACGATGACAAAATAAAAATATACATGAAAACGAGATAGAAGCATAGCTTATTTTGCAAATTATACCTAACAAAATTGGATCTTAGTTGTATAAATTTTGTATTGGTACAAAGAAACAGAAGTAATCACGAATTTTTAAATGATTTATGCGATTACATACTGTTATTACCATTACATACTGTTATTACCATTACAAACAGATCTTACTCAAAACTCAACGCATTACATACTGTTATTACCATTAAATCCATTATTGTACAAAAGTAATCACGAATTTTTAAATGATTTATGCGATTACATTTATAGGAGGGGTCGCATTGGGCTTGTCAACAAACGTGGATGCGAGGTGCTTTGGGTTTAGTCTTTAGACCTCAAAACTCTGAATGGGCCAAATCTTTTTTTTTTCTTAACCGAGTTGGCCCAATATAATAATACGGTTCTTATTTAACCCCTTTCAGACCACCATTAACAAGGGTATCTTAAAGAGTTTTTAACTAAGAAATGTGGTTTAGCTAAGATCTAAAACTAAGAAAAGTGGCTTAGCTAAGACCCAAAACTAACCTTAAGAACTAACCACATGTCATATTATTACTTTAATACTTCTAAGAACCATTTTTAAGATACCATTGTTAATCATGCTCTCATGAGGATCAATAGAGCAAGCGTTAATATTGGAAAAAGTTAGATCGTGAATGATGAAATTTACCAACAAATATAATAGCCAATTCTTTAAGGATTTGCATTTCTTGTAATTAAAATATGACCAATTTAAGCATTTATTCAAATAAATTAATATATTTTGTCTCAATCCAATGGTTAGTCAAAGAAAACGAAATAATTTTTTTATCATTATCTATTCAATATTGTATTGTTTTCATGTTTTGTGTGTGGGTGTATCTCGTTCTTTTGGGCTGCTTCCTTAAGAACTAAACCAAAGCAATAAGGGATAGAGACTTTTGGTCTGTAATTAGATCTGGTGTCTCTCGCAATGACCAAAACTCTTAACATATACAACAACCAACCTCACACATCATCTTTAGCAAAAACAAACAAAAAAAACCTCACACATCATCGTTTATATTTATATATTTTAATACCTTTCTACATAAACTATTGCAGTTAATTCTGTTTTCACAAAACAAATAATATTTTTGGTTAATTACCAAAAAAATAATATTTTTGGTTTGTTTGAACATAATATCAGCTATAAATCCAGAAGTAATCTTTACACACTCTTTGGAAAAAAAACTACTTACACTGAATTACAATTAAAATCCATAAATAGCGATGGACATAAACCAAGTTGTTTCCAACTTATTTACTAGTCATAATCGAGTAATAAAGTAAGAACCTAATTAAGAAAATTGAATACTCAAAGTTTCCACGGTTCTATTATGATACGTTGCGTTCACAAAAAATAAAACGAATAATTTTAGAAAAAATGGATTCCCAAAAGAAAACACTTCTTTAGAAAATAAATTCCAACACTTAAACTTCTAGAACGTTAACAAAAAACTATATCACAATGTTTTATTCAATTATCTATTAGGTTAACACAAAATTTTGCTTATAGCTCACATTTCACGAAACAGCTCACTACTTACTTTCTTTTAAATCAATCCCATTTTTCTTCCATTTGAAACCTCTTAAATCATTCTTCAATCGTCTTCTTCCTCTGAAAATCTTCTAAAGAAGAAAACAGAGGAAAGAGAAGAAGAAGAAGAAGAAGAAGAAGAAGAAGAAGAAGAAGAGTGAACAATGAAGAACGGATCAGGGAACACGAACACGAAGCTAATCCTTCTTCATCCTTACATCCAAAAACAAACGAGCACGACTCGTTTATGGCTTCTCGCTTTCGTCTCTTTCTTCACCATCGTGTTCCTCCTAACTCTCCTCTACACTAGAGACACAATCCCTTCCAAAAACACCTCCGTCGCTGCCGCCGTAGCTGCCGTCGTCACTGGAGGATCCCCATCTTCATCATCATCTCCCATCTCCAACTCTAACTTACCAACGAGTGCAATCAACGCATTGCTTCACTACGCGTCAAGATCCAACGATAGTTTCCACATGTCTTACGGAGAGATGAAATCTATCTCCGACGTCCTCCGCCGCTGCGCTCCACCGTGTAATCTCCTCGTTTTCGGACTAACACACGAGACTCTACTTTGGAAATCGTTAAACCACAACGGTAGAACAGTCTTCATCGAGGAGAATCGTTACTACGCAGCTTACTTTGAAGAAATCCACCCGGAGATCGACGTTTTCGACGTTCAATACACAACGAAAGCTCATGAGGCCGGAGAGCTCGTTACCGCGGCTAAAGAAGCCGCGGGAAACGAGTGTCGTCCCGTGCAAAATCTTCTCTTCTCAGATTGTAAATTAGGTCTTAATGATTTGCCTAATCACGTCTACGATGTTGATTGGGATGTTATCTTTGTGGACGGGCCACGTGGCGACGCTCACGAAGGACCGGGGAGGATGTCGTCGATTTTCACGGCGGCGGTTCTTGCTCGGAGCAAAAAGGGCGGGAATCCGAAGACGCATGTGTTCGTGCATGATTATTATAGAGACGTTGAGAGGCTTTGTGGCGATGAGTTCTTGTGCCGTGAGAATCTTGTCGAGTCTAATGATTTGCTTGCACACTACGTGTTGGATAAGATGGATAAAAACAGCACGAAGTTTTGCAATGGTCGTAAGAAACGTTCGTCTTTGTCTTAAAAGTTACGTGAGAAGACGTCGTCATACATTTGCTTAATGTAAAAAATAAAGTTTTCCCTTTGAAGGTTTGCTTTTTGTGCTGGTGTAAATTTTCTATCTTGGATCTATTGAAGACTTTAATTTAATCAAATCGTTTTTTTCCCCTAAAACTAAACGATTTGATGTAAAATCCAAATGCAAACCGAAGTTTCAAACCAAAATCAAAACAACATTGGTATTTAAAATCTGACCAGTAGGCTTTTTTTTTTTAATACCATACAAGCTGAAATAAAAAAAACAAATTCAATAAAAATATCTCAAAACTGAAAACCACAAACCTCAGATTTCCATGTGTACATTTTTTTCTTTTTATATAATACGTTAATTGGATCATAGATTTGGAAAATTGTTTGTCATGTAAGATTTTGTGTTATGTCAATGCTTTCAATATTTTCTAAAGAATCATTAACTGAGAATTTTACACTACTAGAAAACACGCGGTTAAAGTCGTGTTGAACACAGTTACAATGACATCTTATGAGAATTTTTCATCGTTCTTCCTACGCTCTTTTTTTTTTGTCAAAAACCAGAATAAGAGTTAACTTAGTACAACTCTACTGTATAAATTTAAAGTTAAATACAAAATTTTATAGAGGTAATTTAAACAATTTAATAGTAACTAAATATAATTTTACTTTTAAATCAATCACCAAAAGAAATTCCTTTCCATTCCAATAAAAAACTTCTCAAACCTAAATAACACCAAAAAAGAGCAATAGAAAGCTCCAAATATATTAAAAAAGAAAGAATCTTGATTATTATTATTTTATTTTTGGGGTCAAGAATATTGATTAATAAAATTTTTAAAAAATCTTGATTAATAAAACAATAGTATCTAACTAGTCTAAAGATAGTGAGTTCATACAAATTAGGAAAGCCTAAATCCACGCAAGTTTTTATTTATTTTGGTAAATAAAGATCCTCGTTTTTGATTAAAGAATCTTGAAAGTCGCCGCCACCTACATTACATCAGATAAGATTCCCATTTACAAAAAGCTGAAGCATATTCTAAAGCAGAGAGACAGAGAGAGAGATGGCAACGGACTTCAGATCTTTACCAGTCATCGGTACTAACGAAACCCTAAATTCCGTTCTCGTTTGTTTGATCCAGTTTCATTCAAATTCGATGATATTGCAGACATATCTCCTCTATTGGCCAAGTGTGATGATCCCGACATGGCTGATGATGCCGGCGTGGCGGATGTTGTCCGGCAACTGGATAAGGCTTGTCGGGACGCCGGATTCTTCTACGTGGTACAAACTTGAGTTTCATTCTTTAGCTTTGTAGTCGAAAAACTTCTTCTTTTTTTTTTATCTGATTTTGTGGAAAGCAGATAGGCCATGGAATTTCGGAGAGTCTTATGAATAAAGTTAGAGAGATCACTCGTGAGTTCTTTAAGCTTTCTTATGAAGAGAAACTTAAGATCAAGATGACTCCAGCTGCTGGATACAGGTTTGTTGTGTCTACAATTGTTTTTCTTTTTCCAAAATTCGAACAGTTTTGAGATTGTTCATTGATGTTATGTGAACAGAGGATATCAGAGAATTGGAGAAAATGTAACCAAGGGAATACCAGATATCCACGAAGCCATTGATGTAAGTGTGTTTGTGTCTTTACTAGGTCGCTAGCCGTGTTTTTCTTGATGTGTTTGATTCTTTTATGGACAGTGTTACAGAGAGATTAAGCAGGGGAAGTATGGGGATATAGGAAAAGTTATGGAAGGGCCAAACCAGTGGTAATCTTTATTCGATTTCTTATCCGGTTATGTTGTTTGTTAAGTGTTATGATCATTTCTATCTTGTATTTGTGGCGGTTTCTTGAAGGCCAGAGAATCCTCAAGAGTTTAAAGAATTGATGGAGGAGTATATTAAGCTATGTACAGGTGTGTTTTACCATTTCTCTGTTTCTTATGTGTTCTGTTTCCAAGAGTTCTTAGTTTGTAATTTCATTTCATGGTTTCAGATCTTTCTAGAAAGATCTTGAGAGGAATCTCCTTAGCTCTTACTGGATCACCTTATGAGTTTGAGGGAAAGATGGCTGGTGACCCTTTTTGGGTGATGCGTCTTATTGGCTATCCAGGTGCTCTGTTCGCTAATGGCCAACCCGAAAATGATATCGGATGGTAACTTTCTGCTACTTCTCCTTCTTGTTTACTACGATTAATTCCCTTTTCGCTTATCAGCTCAAGTAAATAACCTTTTCCGAATATCTGCTGCTTACAATGTTATGGTTCCAGTGGAGCTCACACTGACTATGGTAATTAAGCTAACCCTGAAGTGATATCATGTTGAATTTCTGATTCTATCTTAATGGGGAACACTTTTCTCTGCAGGCTTGTTAACTCTTGTAAATCAAGACGATGACAAAACTGCTCTTCAGGTTAATATTCTTAGGATGATCCTCCTTTGATTTTATGTTTATGTGAAGAAGTTGTCTTGGCTCTATAACAAATTTTAACTTTGAAAAGGTGAGAAACTTGGGCGGCGATTGGATATCAGCCGTTCCAATCCCTGGATCGTTTGTTTGCAACATCGGCGACATGCTAAAGGTTTGTTCTTCCCATCTCACTTCCTTTCTCTTGAATACCTTTTTGAGAAACCTTTTGGAATCGTAAAATGCAGATACTTTCAAACGGAGTATACGAATCGACACTTCATAGAGTGATCAATAACTCTCCTCAATACCGTGTCTGTGTCGCATTCTTCTACGAGGTGATTAACTTTTAACACTCTTGTGTGTAATTTCCACATTTGGATTTGGAATCATGTTTTATCTTGAATGAACAGACTAATTTCGACGCGGTAGTGGAGCCATTGGATATATGTAAACAGAAGTACCCTGCAGGGAGAGGAGGATCCCAAGTTTTCAAAAGGGCTGTCTACGGAGAGCATCTCGTTAGTAAAGTCCAGACCAACTTTGCTATGTAATGGAAGGCAGATCTCTCTCGCCTTCTTTTGTACACAATCCACCAACTTTAGCCTCAAGTTTAATTTGTAATAATAGTAAATTAGTAATTAAGGTGCTTCTTCACGTTTGTGTTATCAATCTATAGCACATGTTGATTTGTTTCAAGAAAAGAAAAGGTATGGTTTGTTTATAATTTTAGTTTTATAGTTGATTCTTTGAATAGCTGAGAAATAATTAACAAAACTTATATCTATAATTTATAAAATATAAAAAATATTATGTAATGAAATGTAACAAAGAGGATTTGCATTTATTTGTTTGGACTTTGGACGAACAGTTTGTTTTATTTTATCTCGTAACATTTTTTAGTCTGATTTAACTTGGTATCTGGTAACATTTTTTCCAACTTTTATATGATTGAGTATTTATATAACCATCAGTACTGATCCATCATCATCATCACAACAAACAACCGCGTCTCACCAGAAGATCAAGCCCGTACAAGTTGTGGAATGGCGATAAGTCACACGCCGTTCAACAATTTGTTCAACTTTGGTAACATTTTTTTTCTCATGAATTTTGTTTAGTGTATATATAAATACACCTCGAGAAAAGCAGTAACGTATATGTTTAAGACTTTGTATAGTATAGTATTTTTCTTTGTAATTCCACTCGTTGAATATACACATTACAACTACAAGCATTTATTGAGTCTTTTAATACGAGTACATAGTCTATCCTTTTTTATGAGTTTGGGTGGTTGAATCTTACTCGTTAGATTAGAGTCTTTTTATAAGAGTTTTGCAGAAACCAAAATAATCAAACATGTGATTTTAAAATTAGTTACACAGTTGCATTTGACATTTCACAGCTACGTTCTCGCTCTCAATTTTAAGAGTACAAAGTATTTTCTTCTCTTTATAAGAGTTTAATGTTTCAATGTATCACAAGATATTTTACAGTTTTTTTTATAGTACAAAAGTTTGTAGAAGAAAAGTCATACAAAATATATCCATCAAGGCTACAATAATGATTTTAAGTTTATTAACTATGCTAAAATAAATATTTCTACTCCAAATTGAAAAAATAGTTACAGTTTCTACAGTTAAAACCTTTAAAATATTTACCGTCAACAATTTTACAATAAAATCGACAGTCAGTTACTTATTACCAATCGATCCTTGGATCTATGATAATTTTGTTTTTTTTTTCTTTAAATTATTTTGCCAACGTTACCTTTAATATAGATTATTGCCTTACTAATGCTTCAACTCATTGATATTTACATTCTTAGAAAAACAAAATTTACACGTCAGCGATTTGTTTTGATGATACTTTACGGTATAGTATGTATAATCCCTTAATTAGTTAATGCAGGCATCAATATTGTTGTAGAAGTTAGAGCTTTCGAAGTTTAGTACTCCCTCCGTTTCGTTTTACTTGTCGTTTTAGAGTTAAAATTTTGTTTCATATTACTTGTCGTTTTATATTTACAATGCAAATTTATGACAGATTTTCCAGTTTTAACCCTACTTTTTAAGCTTATTAATTACATATATCAAACAAAATAGTATATTAATTAGGGGTAAAACAATAACTTTAATCGTTTTCTTAATTTGTGTGAAATAATCTAGAACGACAAGTAATATGAAAAGGAGGGAGTAGTATTTTCTAATGAAGTTTGACTTATTCAATCCTACTTGCTAACCATATCGTGTTAGAAAATTTAATATAAACTCACGACAATCAATGCCAGTGCATTAAAATCTTCGGTAGTTTTTTTTTTAATTTTTTATTATTACATATTGGTTGATATATTTATTTAATTTTATTTTCATCTCTTACATATCCATTAAAAATATTTAAGTTCATCATATTCAAATGATAGTTAATCGATCGAGTATATTTAATATTTATACATTACATATGATTATGATATATAGTTTCATAAACTATGTGATGTAGAACTCGCAACATGTAGATTTTTGATTGACAGTTCTATCTGCACCATATTTATTGCGAACAATTTTCCTTTTAACACCGAAACTAAGGTCTTATATGCATCACTCTTTAAGATTTTCGATAAACTTTATACCCATTAACCTCCAAATATACGCTCTCTTAAAACTGAATCCTATATTTAGTACGTAGAAAAGTCCTTAATCCTTTAACCATGAGGCTAAAACTTTTACGACATATATCTTTTTTTTTCTTAATTTTTTTTACATCATTTAAACCGACACGATTTGAATCGAACTCCCGAAAAAAAAGCCGCAGAGGTGGACCATTAATCCCTTAACGAAACACATTTCCCTAGATATATTTGTTAAATTTACTAAGTTTCTTAAAGTTAAATTTTTAAAAAATTATCAAATTTATCTACAATAATAAGCTTATTATTTTCAGTATTATGAGTCTTTTTATTATAAGACTACGTAGTCTTTTTATAAGTTACGTAGGAGACAAATTTTTAAAACCCCCGAAAAAAAAAAACATCTCTTTCTCTCTCGAAAAAGCTTCAACCAACGAAATGGTTAACATCAGTACTGTTCCTCCACCACCACCACCACCACCGATTTTTCAGCTTACTGGGTATCATGTCAGAAAAGGAAGATCACACGACAAAGACAGCTACCTTCGAAAACTCGAAAACCAAAACCATGATTCCGAATCGGTGGACCACGATCAGAAAATTACCAGATCCTATCAAGACCAAAACTTGCATAACCACGAGCACACACGTTCCAAATCTGGTACAAACGAGGTGATCGTAGAGTGCGAGACCACACGAGAGAATTGGGTGATCTCAATAAGAGAAAAGCTCGAGCAAGCAAATAGAGACGATGACAGAACTAGCCGGGGTAAGCTCTGTATCTACAAAGTTCCACATTACCTGCACGGGAACGACAACAAGTCATACTTCCCTCAGACTGTCTCGATTGGTCCGTACCACCATGAGGAAAAGCAAACCCTATCCATGGAGTGCCACAAATGGCGAGCGGTCAATAAGGTTTTAAAACGTCTGGACCAAGGCATTGACGTGTTTATTGACGCCATGACAGAGCTTGAGGAGAAGGCTCGTGCTTGCTACGAAGGTCCCATTAGTTTGACCAGTAACCAGTTCACAGAAATGCTTGTTCTTGATGGCATTTTTGTTCTCGAATTCCTCAGAGGAGTCTCTGAAGGATTCTCGAAACTCGGGTTAGCGTGATTCAATTTCTGATTTAGTCCGGTTATCTTGTTAATGTGGTCTGATTTCAGATCCGGTTATATAACTAACTGCTGATTTATTTTTTACTTTTTCCTTTGCTTGTTTCTATAGGTACGAGCGTAACGATCCAGTTTTCGCGATTCGAGGGTCAATGCATTCGATTCAACGTGACATGATAATGATGGAAAATCAACTTCCTTTGTTCGTGCTAAACCGGTTACTAGAGCTACAGGCCCGTAAATTTATCCCAACTGGCTTAGTGGCACAATTAGCAGTTCGGTTCTTTAACCCGCTTATGCCAACGGCCGAGACGTTGGACGCAAGACACGTATCCGTTAACCCATCAGCCGACCACTTGGGCGATTTGCACTGTCTTGATGTCTTCCGTCGAAGTCTGCTCTTCCCTAAACTGGAGCCGAGGTCATTAGGAAAGACATGGTCTTGGCGTTCGCGCGTGGCGGACAAACGGCTGCAACAAATGATACCTAACGTGACCGAACTAAGGGATGCCGGTTTTCAGTTCAGGATAAGGAAAACCGACCGGTTTTGGGATATCAAATTCAACAACGGTTATCTAGAGATACCCAGTCTACTTATCCATGACGGTAAATTAACTCATACATACACATTTTATGGATTTGGATGTAAAAGACTACGGCCTTTTATATGTTTTCAGATGATGCAGTATTGCAGTGGTTTCTGTTTTTTTTTTTACTTTCAAAATTAAAAGGAAAATAGTTTTTTTTTTTAAACTCTAATGAAATTAGTTTTTAAACTGAGCCAAGTTTCAAAAAAAAAAAAAAAACTAAAAATACCATGTCTGACGTTTTTTGTCAACAGTTTTTTCCCCCACCGAGTTTTTTTTTTTTTTTTTTTCATTTTTTCATTTAAATTAAAAATCAAAAACCAAAAATTATAAAATCAAAAAACTAAATTTAAATATTTAGCAAAAAATATCAAAAAAGAAAAAATATGGTACACAAACAAAACGTATACCAAAAAAAATTTAAGTTGAAAAACGTGGCAATTAATTAAGTATCTATAATTGCAGTTTTTTTTTTTTTTTTTCGTTTGCTGGTAAACCCTTTTTGAGAATCTATTTTTGCTTTGAACCTGAGATATGCTTGTTACAAAACATTTCACATTCCATCAAACAAATGAACCAACGAAATAATCCAAAATTGGCCCAAACATAATAATAATGACACACCCTAAACACAAACTTCATTAGCTTTGTAGTTGGCCCATAGACAAATCTTGGTGTCATCGTCTCTACTATATCTCTAGCCGGGGAAATAGAAACGATGACAAAACTAGCCAGATTGTACTTAGGGCAAACTTCATTTTGCCTTGGTCCCGCTCTCTTCTATGAACTTCTCATACTTACTAGCCCACCCCCTCTTCATTTTTTTGTAGGTACCAAATCTCTCTTCTTGAATCTCATAGCTTTTGAGCAGTGCCATATTGACTCGAGCAACGATATAACATCCTACATAATTTTTATGGATAACTTAATAGACTCTCCCGAAGATATTAGTTACTTGCATCATTGCGGTATCATCGAACACTCGTTAGGGAGTAATTCTAAAGTTTCAGATATGTTTAACCAGCTATGTCAGGAAGTGGTTTTCAACACTAAGGATACTTATTTATCTCAATTGTTGATTGAGGTTCGCGAATGTTATAACCAGAACTACTTCAGGAAGTGGAATGCTTGGAAGAGTGCTTTGAGACACAAATACTTCGACAGCCCTTGGGCATATTTTTCTTTCTTTGCTGCAGTTATTCTGCTAATGCTCACATTATCTCAAAGTTATTTTGCTGCTTATGATTATTTTAAGCCAACTTCTTAATCTTCATTACTATTCTTTTGCTGTTTTGTTAGTTAAATTTGGAATACTTGATGTTTATGTCATGTTGTATTTTCTTATCCAAATAAAAACTTTAGATTGTAATATTTGGTTGAATCACTTATTGTATGTTATAATATTTTAGAAAACGTTGGTTTTTTGACTATATTTTGACTTTTGAGGAAACCACATATTGCTCAAATGTAAGAAAGATGATAGTTCAATCCAGAATTTGGTTTTACAAATAGAAGATTATATGGTTCTTTACAAATGATAATCCAGAATTAAAAAACATTTGTAATCAAATGATATCTAAAATAGAGAGAGAAATTAATACTCATCATGTTACTATCATCTCACTAGGATAACTAAGAGCATCTCTATTGGGAGTCTCTAGGTGAGAGACTCTCCAATAAAACACAATAAAAAATTTATAAAAAAAAGAAGAGAGAAGACAGAAACATTTCTCATTTGAGAAACTCCTAGATACCTATTTCTACGGTTGTCTTTTCTGATTGGTTCAAATAAATAAATAAATAATTTAAAAATAAAAAATTAATATTATTTTATTTGTCAGATATTGAATTGGGTCCGTGAGCGATGAAGATGCTTTAAAGCACTCAAAACCTAAGAGAACAATCGCATCTCACCTCTTTCTCGTTGCTTCCATGCTGCTCTTTTCGAGTTTTATACAATTTGAGTGTAGGCGGGTATTTGGAAGGCACAACACCAGTACTTGAATGACCTCGATCATCAGGATGCGAGGGTCGCACCTATCAAGATAGTATGGATGCCATCATCACCTTGACTTTTCAGACCAAATTTCTCTGGTAATGTGCTCTAGAATCTCTAGTTGCACCAAACCGACGATCTATGTATTCCATGAGAAAAGTTGACAAGTGTCCAACCCATTTACCTAGAGACCCAATAACTGCTATCCAGACCTAAAATAATAAATTCTATAAATGTATTTAACTAAAAAAAAAGATCATTGTATTGTATGTGACCAAATTTAGTAATTCTTTTCTCATGACCTTTTTTAGTGTATACAAATTTGAAATATAGCTTGGAAAAAACATTATACTTTTAAGAGTTTGTAGATTTTCAAAGACTCATGACTCTTTTAAGAGTATATATTTTTAAAAAACATTATACTATTAAGCAATTATGAGTCTTAAAGAAAGCAATTATGAGTCTTTTAGTAAGAGTACAACAGAGTCTTCTTTATTCTTTAATTATGAGAGGTTGGGTGTTTGAATTTCATTTATGGAAAATTTCACAAGCATTTATGAGAGTCTTTTAATAAGAGTACGAAGTCTTTTTATACTCCCTCCGTTTCACAAAGAGTGTCGTTTTAAGGTTTTATTTTTGTTTCACAAAGAGTGTCGTTTTAGGTTTTCAATGCAAAATTTAATGATTTTTTTATGTTTTATGACTATTAGTATTCTGCAGATTGTTTTACTATTGGGCAAATTGTGTTTAAGTATATAGGTAATGATGTTTTTGTTTAGAAAAAACAAAAAATTTAATGTTTTCTTAATCTGTGTGCAAAACTCTAAAACGACACTCTTTGTGAAACAGAGGGAGTAAGAGTTATGTAGATTGGAAAATAAGCAAATCTATGGGAAAATTACAGCTTTAAATTAGTTACAGCGTTTGCATATAACATCTCTCAATTATAGCTTTTGCTCTCAATCTATTGAAAAAAACCTTTAAACAGCAAAACCAATGGTTTTAGTTAATGTTCATTCAGATGGACAACCAATTATCATCAACAAAGACATGTTAACTTGGTACCTGCTCAGCCTCAAGCTCCGCCAAAAATTCCAAACCAAAAACCAACACTCGGAACCGGTTCAAGATCAGAATCTCCACGGTTTACCCGAGATTCCGGCTCAAGAACAAAACTTGCCGAACCACAAACAGACTCATTCCGAGTCCGGTAAGGAGGTGGTAGAAGAGAGGCCAGGAAATACCACAGGAGAAGACAGTTGGGTGATCTCAATAAGAGACAAGCTCGAGCAAGCACATAGAGACGACGACACAGCAATTTGGGGAAAGCTCTGCATCTACAGAGTTCCACATTACCTTCAAGAAAACGACAAGAAGTCGTATTTCCCTCAGACCGTTTCGCTTGGTCCGTACCACCATGGTAAAAAGCGTCTCCGGCCTATGGAGCGCCACAAGTGGCGTGCGGTCAATAAGGTCCTGAAACGTTTAAAGCAGCGCATAGAAATGTATACTAATGCCATGAGAGAGCTTGAAGAGAAGGCTCGTGCTTGCTACGAAGGTCCCATTAGTGTGAGCAGTAATGAATTCACAGAAATGCTTGTTCTTGATGGATGTTTTGTCCTTGAACTCTTCAGAGGAACCGTCGAAGGATTTACCTGTTGAACTTTTGATTGACAAAACAGAGTATGAGAGAAAGATATTCTCTTTCTCAGAAAACACAACTTTATTAATATGAAAACTGAATGTGTTACAAACAGAGACTTGATCTATTTATACAAGTGAACCATTGTGTTTGTGTAATGATAAATAGACACGACACTTAATTTAAAAGATACAACTGTTGTCTCTTGAACAAGTAACTAACTTATGTAAATGTGACTTTATATTATACGAGATGTGATTATATTCCAACATTCCCCCTTAATCATATCTCGGCTTCACTCCAAGCTTTCTCCTTAGTTCTTCAACCCTTGACCTTGTTGACTTCTTCTTCACTCGCAAGTAAGGCACTTGCGTCCGCTTACTCCATCTAAATGGAAAACTCTTATGCTTCATCTTAATGTTCAGTATCCTTCTTCCTTGAGGATCGTTGATGAGGCATCTTTTGTCTTCAAATAAGACTCCATATCCTTTTGATATCATCTGAGAAACACTCAATAAATTTCTCGCTAAACCCGGCACTAGAAACACCTCTTTGATGATCTTCTCTCCTTGGCTTGTCATCTCTTGGATATTTCCTTTTCTTGCCGTCATTACACGTTGACCATTCCCCACTTTGATTGGAACCTTTATCCCCTGATCAAGAGTGATGAAATATTTCACTTCCTTAGTCATATGGTTAGTACATCCGCTGTCAACTAACCATGTTTCATCGTTTCCTTTTGATGATACTTCTTCTTCAACTGCACTAAACAGCATGTGACCTTCATCTTCTGAGTCATCTTCTGTTTCTTCAATACTTAGATCCACTCTCTCGGTCCTTCTAAGTTTGCAGTTCTTTGCTAGATGTCCCGGTTTGTTACACACGAAACATTTTCTCTCATTGTTCGCCACTTGTTGCGGAACAACACTTTTGTTCTTCTTCATCCAACAATAATCACTCTCGTTGTGATTGTTACGTTTACAAACGCCACACCACTTCTCGGCACTCTTTTGACGCTTGACTTCAGATTTGTTTTCTCCATAGAACGCTCCTTCCGTTGATCGTTCTTCTCGAATTGATACACGCTTCTCATGTGCTTTCAGCGTTCCTATCAATTCTGTCACCGACAAGGACGTTAGATCCTTCGTTTGCTCCATCACAGCCACAATGCTGTCAAATCTCTCAGGAAGAGATATGAGAATCTTTTGGACAATTTGGTAGTCGGTCTTCTCTTCTCCATTAACCCTTAATTGATTTCCCAAATCAATTAACTTTTCTGTGAAAACTGTGATGTTTTCACCTTCATCCATTTTCAGATTTTCATACTCTCTTCTCAACGATTGAAGTTTTATCAATCGCACTTGCGGAGTCCCTTGAAATTCAGTTTTCAAAGCATCCCATGCTTCCTTCTTCGATGTAACCGCTGGAGCTATTCGAGAGAATATCTGATCTGAAACTGCAGTTTGAAGAATTTGCAGTGCCGTCAAATCCTTTGTTGTTTCTTCCTCCCGTTGATTTCTCAATCGCAAAGCTTCTGGAGTTTGCTCCTCTTGTGCTGTTCGGTTGGAAACTCCGTTCTCCACCACCGTCCACAATTTTCTGGTTTTGAAAATTGTTGTCATCTTGATGCGCCAGAAATCGTAATTATCCCCATCGAATATGGGAATCAATTGTTGTGATGTTCCTTCCATCGCCTCTGTTTTTGTTCTGAACTTTTTCTTTTGCAGGTTTTGTTATGCTTCTCTTTGTCTTTCCACAGCCCTGAATCAATAAAGCTCTGATACCATGTTGAACTTTTGATTGACAAAACAGAGTATGAGAGAAAGATTTTCTCTTTCTCAGAAAACACAACTTTATTAATATGAAAACTGAATGTGTTACAAACAGAGACTTGATCTATTTATACAAGTGAACCATTGTGTTTGTGTAATGATAAATAGACACGACACTTAATTTAAAAGACACAACTGTTGTCTCTTGAACAAGTAACTAACTTATGTAAATGTGACTTTATATTATACGAGATGTGATTATATTCCAACATTACCGAAATCGGGTAGGCGTGAATAAATTTTCTGGTTTTTTCCGGTTATCTAATATACCTTCTAAACCGGTAATCTATATATAGTTGATTTTTTTTTCTGTGCTGAGTAGATATGCGCGCAACGATCCGGTTTTCGCAATGCGAGGATTGATGCATTCGATTCAACGAGACATGATAATGCTGGAAAATCAACTTCCTCTGTTCGTTCTCGACCGGTTGCTATAGTTACAGCTTGGTACACAGAACCAAACCGGTATAGTGGCACATGTAGCTGTTAAGTTCTTTGACCCGCTAATGCCAACGGGAGAGGCGTTAACCAAACCGGACCAGGCAAAGCTCATGAACTGGCTGGAAAAATCCTTGGACACACTTGGTGATAAGGGCGAGTTGCACTGTTTGGATGTTTTCCGTCGAAGTCTACTCCAGTCTAGTCCTACACCGAATACAAGATCTCTACTAAAGAGATTAACTAGAAATACGCGAGTGGTGGACAAGCGGCAACAACAACTGGTACATTGCGTGACGGAACTAAGGGAAGCTGGTGTGAAGTTCAGGAAAAGGAAAACCGACCGGTTTTGGGATATTGAATTCAAAAATGGTTATCTAGAAATACCCAAACTATTAATCCATGATGGTAAGCTAAAATGTTCTCTTTTCTTTCCTACTTTTTATTCCTTAACCATATGTTTGTATCTATAGAACCCCTAAATTCCATAAACTTACATATCCCTTCATGTTTTTTTTTTGTAGGTACTAAGTCTCTCTTCTCAAATCTTATAGCTTTTGAGCAGTGCCATATCGAGTCGAGCAACCACATAACATCCTACATAATTTTCAGGGATAATCTAATAAACTCTTCTGAAGATGTTAGCTACTTGCATTATTGTGGTATCATTGAGCATTGGCTTGGTAGTGATTCTGAAGTTGCGGATTTGTTCAACCGGCTATGTCAAGAAGTTGTTTTCGATCCCAAAGATAGTCATCTATCTCGACTGTCTGGTGATGTAAACCGTTATTACAATCGTAAATGGAATGTTTTGAAGGCTACCTTAACGCACAAGTACTTCAACAATCCTTGGGCATATTTTTCTTTTTCTGCTGCAGTTATTCTGCTACTTCTCACATTATGTCAGAGTTTCTATGCTGTGTATGCTTACTATAAGCCAAATTCTAAACTTTAGTCATTTTTTCCCATCAATTTGGAATGTTTGTAGTTTCTTGTTTTTCAACATTTTCTATGTTTTCTATTCAGAATTTTGCATTGTAACAATTGGGTTTTAGAATAATTATGTTGTTGCGAAGCAATTTTTAATAAAGGTTGATTTTGATCGCTAAGCGTATTAATAATTGGGATATGGTTTTATTAGGGGTGCCAAGAATTGTACTAATCCAACCCAACCCTTATGCAAATGGGTTGAGAGCTATATAAATGCTAATGGGTTAGGTACCCAAACCCCTTAATCTATTGGTCAAACTCAAATGGATTAATCCATGTAAAAAATTTATAATAATTTTTTTAAAAATATAGAATGATGATTTTTCACTTAGATTCACACTTTATTTCTCAAATAAATTTTATTTATTTTAAAACTTCAAATCATGGTATACTATATGCAGACAAAAAAAAACACTTCATGTTTTTTTTTAGTAAATTTACGAGATTTAATTTAATTTCTATAAAGAAGTTGAAATAGAAAACTAAAATAAAAGAGGGGACACATTTTCGGACTACATAAGATAAAAAGAAAATATATTGTGTAATAAATGGTCATTTTAATCATAGTTGAGTAAATTATATTAGGATCAAGAATTAAAGACCATGTGGATCATAAATTGTTTTTAAAAAAAAAAGACCATGTGGATTACATGTCATTGGCTTAGTTAATAATTAAGGAAATGCAGTTGTTTACTACTATCCATTTTAATTGTTAGCCTATTTATAAGAGTTTTGTATATGGCCACTCAGTTACATGTTGCTTTGACATTTTACTGTCTTTATCTCTCTCTCGATCTCCCGAGCTTCAACATTGACCAACAGAAATCATGGTTTTGTTTTCGGATGGTCGCTCAACTTCCACCCACAAAAGGTACAGACGGTTGTCATGGTTCGTGCCAATCCACAGTTTCCATGAAATTAGCAGACGTGATCTAGGCCAAAACTTGCACAACCACAAAGAGACTTACGCGGAGCCCGGTAAGATCGAAGTAAAAGAAGAGAAGCCAAGAGAGACACGAGAAGAATGGGTGATCTCGATCAAGGACAAGATGGAGCAAGCACTTAGATACGATGCAACAAATAGCTGGGACAAGCTCTGTATCTACAGAGTTCCATTTTATCTTCAAGAGAACGACAAGAAGTCTTACTTGCCTCAAACTGTCTCTATTGGTCCATACCACCATGGCAAGGAACATCTCCTTCCCATGGAGCGCCACAAGTGGCGGGCCGTCAATATGGTCATGGCACGTACCAAGCACAACATTGAAATGTATATTGACGCCATGAAAGAGCTGGAGGAGGAGGCTCGTGCTTGCTACCAAGGTCCCATTGATATGAAGAATAGTAATGAATTCACAGAAATGCTTGTTCTTGATGCCTGTTTCATTCTCGAGCTCTTCAAGGGAACAGCTCAAGGATTCCAAAAAATCGGGTAAGCCTCACTAAATTTTATCCGGTGATCTCCTTTATTGCTAAAACTATTGACTTTGTTGTGTGTTGATTAGATATGCACCCAACGACCCGGTTTTCGCTAAGCGAGGATTGTTGCATTCGATTCAACGTGACATGATAATGCTGGAAAACCAACTTCCTCTGTTCGTTCTCGACCGGTTATTAGGACTACATCCCGATACACCGAACCAAACCGGTATAGTGGCAGATGTAGCTGTTCGGTTCTTCAAAACACTAATGCCAACGAGCAAGGCGCTGACCAAATCAAAAAGCCCGTTGGACTCGCAGGAAAAATCCGATGAACTGGCTGACAATGGCGGGTTGCACTGTTTGGATGTGTTCCATCGAAGTCTCATCCAATCTAGTGAGACAACGAATCCGGGGACTCCATATGAGGATATGAGCATGGTGGACAAGCAACAACAACTTATACATTGCGTGACAGAACTAAGAGACGCTGGTGTTAAATTTATGAGAAAAGAAACTGGCCAGCTTTGGGATATTGAATTCAAAAACGGTTATCTAAAGATACCCAAACTACTAATCCATGATGGTGAGTTAACCGGTTTTTTCTTCTCAACTTTTCTATTAGTCCCTCATAAATGTTTTAACTATTTTCCTATTATATCCAATATCTTTAAGATTTTACAGTTTGACAAAGAATATATTTGTTACAAGCTAGAATTTGAGGTCTTGCTAGTTCCTGAAAAATGGTATCTCTTGTACTCATAAAGTCTAGTGTCATGTTATTTTCTTGTACACTAACCAAATTTATCTATAGAATCCCATAACTCCTTAAACTTACTAAAACACCGTGGTCTCACATGTTTCTTGTAGGTACCAAGTCTTTATTCTCAAATCTTATAGCTTTCGAGCAGTGCCATACACAGTCAAGCAACAACATAACATCCTACATAATCTTCATGGATAATCTAATAAACTCTTCTCAAGATGTTAGCTACTTGCACCATGACGGTATCATTGAGCATTGGCTAGGGAGTGATTCTGAAGTTGCAGATTTGTTCAACCGGTTATGTAAAGAAGTGATCTTTGACCCAAAAGATGGTTATCTATCTCAACTGTCTGGCGAAGTTAACCGTTATTATAGTCGTAAGTGGAACTCTTTGAAGGCTACTCTAAGACAAAAGTACTTCAATAACCCTTGGGCATATTTCTCCTTTTCAGCTGCAGTTATTCTGCTAATTCTTACATTTTTTCAAAGCTTGTTTGCTGTCTATGCTTATTATAAGCCACTTTCTTAACTTTCATTTTGTTATTTTCATTTTTCATTTTATTACAAATATTTGTGTCTTCTTGTTTTCGTAACATTTTGTATTTTCTTCCATTCAAATAGTTAGTATATTGAGAACATTTAAAAAAGTTTAATTTTGGACTATATTTGTTTGACGTTATATCCAAGAAGTAGTGAAGATTTAGTAGTAGTAAATATTGTGCAATCATTCAAAAAAAGTTTTGTAAAAAAAAAATACAGAGTATTTACAGAATTACCAAACCAGGGTTTGGATAAGTCGGGTCGAGGCTGATTAGGCTCCCTATGCTTGGAAATGGGTTTGCAAGTCTGAACACTATTTTTTGAAGGCATAAGATTTTGAATATTTAAAGCATAAAATATAATAGATGACTGACTTTCTTGGAGTCTTTTGGGTTTGCATGTCTGAACACTATTTTTGGCTATTCTAGTTTTTTTAAGGCATAAGGTTTTGAATATTCAAGTCTTAATATAATCGTTTTTTAAAGTAAGATTGTCAAGGCATGTCTGTACACTATTTCTTGGTCTTTCTATAAGAGCACCTAGGCCTGGGCATAATACCCGAACCCGAAGAACCGAACCGAACCCGACCTGAAAAATCCGACCCGAACCCGAACCCGAAGTTTTAAAATACCCGAACGGGTCTTAGTTTTCTAAATCCGAAAAACCCGAACCCGAAAAACCCGACCCGAACCCGACCCGAATATCCGAACGCCCAGGCCTAAGAGCACCTCATCATCCATTCGAGAATGGTGAAGTCGTGCCAATTGCCATGTGCCGAGTTTAATTCCCATGTCTACGGTTGATAACACTTCTCAATTGGAATCTTCCCCGACCCTATCTTGAGGGGTACAAGGGATTAAGGGAATATAACGTTTAAGCAATAAATATAGAGGATGACAATAAATATATTTCTATTTTTGTTTTGGTTTATTTTTCAAACAATAAATACATAGAGAATGTTAATCACAGTTGTATAGTCCGGTACGGTTGAGTCCAGAAAGGTTAAAGAACATGCTATGAAATTATAAACTTGCTGTTTCTATTGACATCTTGAAAGAAAAAAAGATTTTTTCATATGGATAATTCAAATATCAATCATTGTCAAATGTCAATAGTGAATAATCTGTTATAGTATATAGTATTTCTATAAGAGTACAAAGCATTTTCATTTTTTTAATAAGAGTCTGAATGAATGTTTCAAATATATATCTCACTCAATGAAATATATATATTACATTAAAGACTTTCTATTATGTAGAAGAAAAGTCAAAGAAAACATCTCTCGCCAAAGCATTATCCAACATGTATGAGTCTGATTAGATGTTTAATCATTGGTTGTTGTCATTACTGATCAAACAAGTCCAGAAATGTAAGCAACCAATCACAGCTTTAATTCATTAGTTACTTACATCTTTGCTTTTGGACATGTTCTATGTCACTCTCAATCTCCTAAAAAACATTCAACCTACAACAATGGGTTTTCCTAGTAAACGACGACCACCACCTCCACCACCACCACCGCCGCCTCTTCCAATAGCGCTGCCACCACTTCCGCCGCCACCACCACCCCCTCCGCCCCATCAACCATTTGGACCGAATCTTCCTTTACCTCATCTTATAATAAGAAGAAAAGGAAGAAGAAATTATCAACTACGACCTATGTTGACATGGTACTTCCTCACATTCATAATGCATAAAAATATCCAAACCCGAAACCAACAACCCGGAGAGACACGGGAAGAATGGGTGATTTGGATCAAAGAGAAGATGGAGCAAGTACTAAGAGACGACGCCACAACTAGCTGGGACAAGCTTTGTATCTACAGAGTTCCACTCTCCCTTCAAAAAAACGACAAGAATTCCTACTTCCCTCAAACCGTCTCTCTTGGTCCGTACCACCATGGGGACGAACATCTTCGGCCCATGGATTATCACAAATGGCGTGCGGTCAATATGGTCATGAAACGTACCAAGCAAGGCATTGAATTGTATATTGACGCCATGAAAGAGCTCGAAGAGAGGGCTCGTTCTTGCTACGAAGGTCCTATTGGTTTGAGCAGTAACAAGTTCACCCAAATGCTTGTTCTTGATGGTTGTTTTGTTCTCGATCTCTTCAGAGGAGCCTATGAAGGATTCTTGAAACTTGGGTAAGCTATAATTTAATTTTCTGCTAAACCGGTCTGATTTCAGATCCGGTTGTCTAAACTGTTGACTTTTTTTGTTATAACTTTTTTTCTTTTTTCTTGGTGTTTTGTAGATACGACCGAAACGATCCCGTTTTCGCGATGCGAGGATCGATGCATTCGATTCGACGTGACATGCTAATGCTGGAAAATCAACTCCCTTTGTTTGTCTTAAACCGGTTATTAGAGCTACAACTCGGTACACAATACCAAACTGGTTTAGTGGCACAATTAGCGGTTCGGTTCTTCAATCCGTTGATGCCAACCTATATGCCATCAACCAAAATTGACAACTCGCAAGAAAACAACAATAAATTCTTTAACCCAATTGCTGACAAGGAGAAGGAAGAGTTGCACTGTCTAGATGTTTTCCGTCGAAGTCTGCTCCAGCCTAGTCTGAAACCGGAACCGAGGTTATCGCGAAGTAGATGGTCCAGGAAACCACTCGTGGCTGACAAGCGCCAACAACAACTGCTACATTGCGTGACAGAACTAAGAGAGGCCGGTATAAAATTCAAAAGAAGAAAATCCGACCGGTTTTGGGATATTCAATTCAAAAATGGTTGTCTAGAGATACCGAAACTACTTATCCATGATGGTAAGTTCACATTTTTCGTTTTTATTTATTATACATTCCTTCTTATGAGTTTCCTTCAAAATGTGATACCCATCTGCATATAAATGACTTTGTACAAAACCAAAAATTTGTGCGACATGTATTGGTTTTATTCATTTTTTTTTCCCACAAGTTGCTACTGACATCAATTGTTGCCTATTTCACTAATTCGGAATGATTTAGCCATTTAGGCATATACATTCTTTTTCTCTAGAGAACCCCCATAATTCATTGAACTCACAAAAACACTATATGGTCTCTCTTGTAGGTACCAAGTCTCTTTTCTCAAATCTTATAGCTTACGAGCAGTGCCATATCGATTCTACCAACGATATAACATCCTACATAATCTTCATGGACAATCTAATAGATTCTGCTGAAGATATTAGGTATTTGCACTACTATGATATCATCGAGCACTGGTTAGGAAATGATTCGGAAGTTGCTGATGTCTTCAACCGGCTATGCCAAGAAGTGGCTTTCGACCTCGAAAATACTTATTTATCTGAATTGTCGAATAAGGTAGACCGTTATTATAACCGAAAGTGGAATGTTCTGAAGGCAACCTTGAAACACAAGTACTTCAGTAATCCTTGGGCATATTTCTCTTTCTTTGCGGCAGTTATTCTGCTACTTCTCACATTATTTCAGAGTTTTTTTACTAGTTATCCTTATTTTAAGCCACCAAATTCTCATTAACTTTGAATGTTTGTACTTTTTTACTTTGTCTTTTTCTGTTGTATCATAAAGTAAAGAAAGATTTCACTGTATTATTTTGAAGCTATATGTCGGAAGAGATATTTTTCAGTTGAGATATTGGTTTAGGTTTCTTATATTTTTTTAATTGCCACTGTAAGTTTTGTTGTACTTTAATAAACCCAAAAATATGTGTTGTACTTTACTGCTGTAGAAGAACAAACTGGTTACTAGAACTCCTTTCTATCCGTTTCAATTATTTGGTAACAAATGAGTTTGGAACGTAATGGTAATTTGCTTTACCATGGTAAATTATATAACCCGTCACAAATCAATGGAGAATACTCCATTGCAAAAAAAAAAAAGATGCAACATGTTATGTTGCAAATTCTCGTCTCAAAAGTCTCTTGCAATATGTTGCAAATAGCAACGAATTTGTTATGATCTTGAGAAATTTGTTATGATCTTGAGAAATTCTTTCTTTAAGACTCTCATAATACACCATTATTGAGCTAGTGAGGGACGAGTGTTTTTAGAGTTATTTTTTTTAAGATTTGTAAAATCAAAACAAACAAAACGTGGTCCGTCAAGGTGTTATTTAACAGCTCTAAAGTTTGACAAAGTTATGGTTAATGTATGTGTATGATTAGGTATTCAAACTTATTAATATGTGTGCTGTGCACAGATCTATCATTTTGTTTTTCTTTCTCAAAGTTAAACCAACAAAAATGGTGCGCATTCTCTCTTTTGCACCACCGCCTCCTCCACCACCACCACCATCGTTTAGATCAATTCCTCGTCCACCACCTCCACCATCGTTTAGATCAATTCCTCCTCGGCGTCATTTCTTCAAAAGGAAAAGTAAAAGTCTACCACCACCACCACCACCACTACCGCCAGCGCGACCATTTGGACCGATTCTTCCTTGGCGGTATTCTGTCAAAAGAAAAAGAATTAATAATCGACCACAACCGTCTACGATCCAGAAAGACATGTTGACATGGTACTTACTCACCCTCATGATGCGCCAAAAACTCCATAACCGAAACAAACAACCCGAAGAGACACGAGAAGAATGGGTGATCTCAATCAGAGACAAGATGGAGCAAGCACTTAGAGAAGACGCTACAACTAGTTGGGACAAGCTATGTATCTACCGAGTTCCACAATACCTTCAAGAAAACAACAAGAAGTCCTATTTCCCTCAGACCGTCTCACTTGGTCCGTTTCACCATGGCAACAAACATCTCCTACCCATGGACCGTCACAAGTGGCGTGCGGTCAATATGGTCATGGCACGTACCAAACACGACATTGAAACGTATATTGACGCCATGAAAGAGCTCGAAGACAGAGCTCGTGCTTGCTACGAAGGTCCTATAGATTTGAGCAGCAACAAGTTCTGTGAAATGTTGGTTCTTGATGGTTGTTTCGTTCTCGAGCTCTTTAGAGGAGCCGATGAAGGATTCTCGGAACTCGGGTAAATAAATATGTTTAAATTTCTGTTTTATCTTGTTATCTAATTTACTTTTATGTATAATTTCAGATCCACTAATTCATCTAAACCGTTGACTTTTTTTGTTTTTGTTTTTTTTCTTCTTTATTGTGAATGTAGATATGATCGTAACGATCCAGTTTTCGCAATGCGAGGATCAATGCATTCGATTCAACGTGACATGGTAATGCTTGAAAATCAACTTCCTTTGTTCGTTCTCAACCGGTTATTAGAAATACAGCTTGGTCAACGGCACCAAACCGGTTTAGTGGCGCAATTAGCAGTTCGGTTCTTTGATCCACTAATGCCAACCGATGAGCCGTTGACCAAAAACGACAACTCGTTGGAAAGTGATAAATTCTTTAACCCGATTGCCGATAAGGACAAGGGCGAGTTGCATTGTCTAGATGTTTTCCGTCGAAATCTTCTTCGGCCTTGTTCGAAACCGGAGCCGAGGTTATCACGAAGGAGATGGTCGTGGAAAACTCGTGTGGCGGATAAGCGCCAACAACAACTGATACATTGCGTGACCGAACTTAGAGAAGCCGGTATTAAGTTCAGAAGGAGGAAAACCGACCGGTTTTGGGATATTAGGTTCGAAAACGGTTATCTCGAGATACCAAAACTGTTAATCCATGACGGTAAATGACTTCACATCTTCGTATAAATGCTATTTTAAGATCATGTTTTACACTCCTACATGATCTATTATTCTCTAACCAAATTTTTAATCATAAAATAAACATTTTTCCACCAAGTTGCCAAAGTAAATGAATTATCATCAATTATTCCTTATTGACCATTTCAGAATGATTTAAGCAATGGCTAAAAATTAAGAATATAAAATAAATACACTTTTTTATACAACTGTTTAACACCTTGAACTTACATATATTATATACCATGGTTTCTCGTGTTTCTTGCAGGTACCAAATCTCTCTTCTCAAATCTTATCGCTTTCGAACAGTGTCATATTGACTCAAGCAACGATATAACATCATACATAATCTTTATGGATAATCTAATAGATTCTCCGGAAGATGTTAGTTATTTGCATTATTGTGGTATCATCGAACATTGGTTAGGAAATGATTATGAAGTTGCGGATTTGTTCAACCGGTTATGTCAAGAAGTGGCTTTCGATCCCCAAAATAGTTATTTATCACAATTGTCGAATAAAGTTGATCGGAATTATAGCAGAAAGTGGAATGTTATGAAGGCCATCTTAAAACACAAGTACTTCAATAATCCTTGGGCATATTTCTCTTTTTTTGCTGCACTTGTCCTGCTAGTTCTCACGTTATTTCAGAGTTTTTTCACTGCTTATCCTTATTTTCACCCACCTTCCTAGTTTTCATTATTGTTCTATAGTTTCCGTCATTAAACTTGGAATGTTTGTAACTTTTTTCGAACATTTTTGTTTTATATTTTAATTTTGTGTTGCAATAAGAAAATCAGAAACTAAACTAAACTATTGTTCGTATGTCTTGAACCTGATGATACGTTGTTTGCGGTAGCACGAAACTTTCGCTGTGACTCGGTAGGTCTAGGGGGACGATGCTATTAACATTTATCTTCTCATTTGTGTTCCAAAACATTAATGACCGTTGTCTATTGACGGATATTCCAAAGTTTGAATCACTTTCCAAGATGACGAAAAATCTCCTCGACACTCTGATGTATTAAGACTAACGAGTCTTGATACTCAATTTTTACTTTTGTCGAATGTACTATGTACAATAATTTAAATAAAATCATATAAAAGTTTGATTGGGTGCAATCAAAGACAAAAGAAAAACAAGAGGAACTAAACAGTGAAAATGGGAAGTGATCACTAGAGGAAATATTTTCCGCATTTTTAACCTAAAGAAAAAGTTTCTTCTCATTTCTCTTTGTGTTTTGGGTTTTCCATGGAGTAAGAAGGGATCATTTTTTACTTTTTTCTTATACTAGTTGGTAAAATTAATGTGAAAACCTTTTCTACCATTTTCTTATACATCATAGATTAGTCTCCATCGGCCACACCCTAAAAGTTTGGCTAATGAAAATAAGCAAACAAAATGTGTCTAGTCAACCAATAGATTTAAAGTTTGTTAGAGCAATCATCATCCATACGAGAAATGGTGAGGTCGTGCCATGTTCCTCACTAGCTGTGTAGTGTACATGTTCCGTTATGCTCTCACCATTTTTTTATTTCTATTTTTCTTAGTAATAAATTGTGCATGAGATATAAGAAAAATTCCATAATGTACCAAAACAAAAACCACAAAATATCAATAACCATGATGAAATGTGATTTTCAAGTTGACACGTAAAGAAAAAAAGAAAAAAAGGGAGAAGAAAGAAAACACACTAAAGAAGAGCTTTTTTTTTTTTATCACCAAGAAGAGCTTTTTATTTTGTGCTTTTATCGTTAGAAATTACCCAAATTTGACAAGACAAATAATCTTATCTTGTCCAACGACTCTCATATTCCCCAAACGAGCATTTCTAGTATAGTTGGGCAATGATACCTCTTACCCCATCTTCCATGCGTTATGGACTCGTCGTACTCAAACCGAAAAGAAAAGGTATATCAAAATTTTGGTATCTTTTTTTTTCTGAATGAATGTAAAATTTATTCAACCAAAAAACCTTGTTACAATGAATGCATTTTTTAAATCGAATGGTCGTGTATACGGTAAATTGAAGAACAAAAATGCGTTTTTTTTTAACTCAGCTTGTCTCTCTAGTTGAGTTAACTGCATTATAAGGTTTTGACTATTATGTAATTCCGTGAAAACAGCACCTCCTTCTTAAGCCGCACGATTCCAATTAATTTGTGTATTTTAGTAGTTAAAAAGGAAGGGCGTATTTAAATTTTAGTTGTTACTTTTCTTCAAAGTTCTTAATACATGTGTGCGTGTTTAGAAATATCTAATTATGGTTGTTGTCATTACAGATCAGTTGGGTCCATAAGTACAATAAGTAACCAATTATATCTTCAAATCATTCACATATACTTACTTCTCTCTTCCTCTCTCATTTTCTTGAAAAAGCTTCAACCAACAAAAATGGTGGCTGTCTTCTATAAAGACATGTTGAGCTGGTACTTACTCACCCTCAAGATCCGCGAAAAACTCGAAACCCAAAACCAAGAATCCGAATTGGTTAATCAAGATCAAGATCTCCTCTATTTACCCGAAATCAGATCCGATCAAGACCAAAACAATCATAACCTCGAGCAGACTCGATCTGAGCCCGGTAAGATAGATGTGATCAAAGAGAGTCCAAAAGATTCACGAGACGATTGGGTGATCTCCATCACTGACAAGCTCGAACAAGCACATAGAGACGATGACACGACACTCTGGGGAAAGCTCTGTATCTACAGAGTTCCATACTACCTTCAAGAAAACGATAACAAATCGTATTTCCCTCAGACCGTCTCGCTTGGTCCGTACCATCACGGTAAAAAACGTCTCCGGTCTATGGACCGTCACAAATGGCGTGCGGTCAATAGAGTCTTGAAACGTACGAACCAAGGCATTAAAATGTATATCGATGCCATGAGAGAGCTAGAGGAAAAGGCTAGAGCTTGTTACGAAGGTCCCTTAAGTTTGAACAGTAACGAATTTATCGAAATGCTAGTTCTTGATGGTTGTTTTGTTCTTGAGCTCTTTAGAGGAGCCGTTGAAGGATTTACAGAACTCGGGTAAGCCTGAATTTTTTCAATTGCTGGTTATTTCCGGTTCATTCAAATCATTGTTAAACCGGTCTCAATCATGTTTTGTGTAGATATGCACGTAACGATCCAGTTTTTGCGATGAGAGGATCAATGCATTCGATTCAACGTGACATGGTAATGCTAGAAAATCAACTTCCTTTGTTTGTTCTAAACCGGTTATTAGAGCTACAGCTTGGTACACGGAACCAAACCGGTTTAGTGGCACAATTAGCGGTTCGGTTTTTTGATCCACTAATGCCAACAGACGAGCCGTTGACTAAATCTGGCCAGTCAAAACTCGAGAACTCACTGGCAAGAGATAAAGCCTTTGACCCATTCGCCGATATGGGCGAATTGCATTGTCTTGATGTTTTCCGTCGCAGTTTACTCCGGTCTAGTCCTAAACCGGAGCCTAGGTTAACAAGAAAGAGATGGTCTCGAAACACGCGTGTGGCGGACAAACGCCGGCAACAATTGATACATTGTGTGACGGAACTAAGAGAGGCCGGTATAAAATTCAGGAGAAGGAAAACCGACCGGTTTTGGGATATTCAATTCAAAAACGGTTATCTAGAAATACCGAGGCTACTTATCCATGACGGTATGTTCACGTTTTTCACATTTTCTTCTTTTTAACGCCTTTTTAATTGATCAAATCCGTATAAAATTGATATTTTCTTGTTTGTATCGGTTTAGATTGCTAAAGAATATATTAGTTAAGATTAAGAATAATGATGTAGTATGCTGCATAAAAATGCTACTTATAGAATACAAGAAATGTCATCAGTTACATATTCCATATTGACTAATTCAGAATGATCTAAGCAATGGAAAAGATTGTGTGATTTTAGACTGGCAAAAAGTTTAGATAATGAAACAAATACACGTTTTCAACAAAACTATTAATTCGTTTATACTAAATAAACCCTTTCTTCACATGTTTACCAAAAAAAAAAACCTTTCTTGTTTTTATTTGTAGGTACCAAATCTCTTTTTCTGAATCTTATAGCTTTCGAGCAGTGCCATATCGATTCGAGCAATGACATAACATCCTACATAATCTTCATGGACAATCTAATAGATTCTCACGAAGATGTTAGCTATTTACACTACTGCGGTATCATCGAACATTGGCTAGGAAGCGATTCTGAAGTTGCGGATTTGTTCAACCGTTTATGTCAAGAAGTTGTATTCGACACCGAAGATAGCTATCTATCTCGGTTATCGATTGAGGTTAACCGTTATTACGATCATAAGTGGAATGCTTGGAGGGCTACCTTGAAACATAAGTACTTCAATAATCCATGGGCAATTGTTTCTTTCTGTGCTGCAGTTATTCTACTAGTCCTCACTTTCTCTCAAAGTTTTTACGCTGTATATGCTTATTATAAGCCACCTTCTTAACCTTATAGCTTGTTTTCATTTAAAAGGATTTTTTGTGTGTGTTATATACTTATATGTAGTACATTCCATTCAAGCTAAGAAAGAACATTGATATTGTAAGATTGTAACACTTAGGTTTTGAAGTAGCCATGGTACACTTCTTTTTGTCATGATAGTAAGTTTTTTCTTTTTTCTAAGTTTTTGATTACATATTATTCAATCATATGCTGAGAACATAAGAAAAAATAACTAAAAAGTTAGCAGTTAAGAAAAAGAACGTTATGGATATTAACATTGTAGAAAATAAATGATTAACTCTGAATAAATCTTTCTAGCTATGGAAAGTAGATAAAAAATCTACTAAAGATTTATGAAAAGTTTGTGTGGGACTAGATGATCATGTTAATTTTAACTTTTAAGAAAGAATTCGCTTAGGTAAATTTTGAAATTCGATTGTGTTTTTCTGTTGTTGTTGTGTATTGATAATCTCTAGCTATCCTTTATAATCGCTGGTGGAGATTGATTATGATTCAAATTAAGTAATTATGTAATTTCAGTTCTCCAGCTTTGCTTAAATCTTTAAAATTACAATTATGAAGATGTATTTTCCATTTAATTACTATATAATTTCAATTTAAAAATTACAAAATTCCGTAAAATTCTCGTAAAATATATTCTTTTTGAAAATCTGTATTACTCTAAATAATTAAAATCAAACGTTGACCAAAAACAAAATGAAACAAGCCAAGTGCTAAGTATATATTTAGGCCCATCTAGGCCCAATAAACGAAAGACAAAATTCTGACCGGCAAGAGCGGGGGATGATAAAACGGGAATTGATCGTTAATCTCCGCACGTTCATCGGAAATTTCGTACGCTGCTGCTCTGAATCAACACCAATCTTCTTCCTCCATTGAATCTCTTCTTCGCGACGAAAAATCTTGGAGCTAATCTTCGCTAATCGTCCTGCATTCTCCGGTAACCAATGGCTACTCTCTCGTTTTTGTTTTTTTCTCCGGCCAATGCTTTTCGAATTTGGAAGTCTAGTTTCATTTTGATCTGCCTCTGCTAGATGATTTACTTGATTTTCTGTTTTGAGAGATCTAGTTCCATTGATTTGGCGTTGAGAGAGATATGTGAAAATGGATGCGACCGAATTTGCTGACCTTTTGGATTATAGCAATGTGCACTAGTACGGTCTTAGATTCCTTATCCTACGAAGCAATTTTTCGTATTCACTGCTATTTCAGATGATTCTAGAAGCGAATTTAGCCAAAAGCTTTAGCTAGATTTTGTTTATGCGCATACAAACATGGATAATGTGGGAATTTGGAGTTCTGTATATTCTGCTAAGTGTTTGATTAAATGAGAAGCTGGAGTTAGTACTAAAACGTGAACTTGCCTTTGTTTTTAGGTTGTTGTTTGCTCGTTAAGTAAGGCAAAGCGTTGTCTGAGCTAGCGTTGGATTGGTAAAATGGAAACTGTTCCTGCTGACTCTTCATCTCAGTCTCCAGCTATAGTATCTGAGAAAGATGTAACCATTCCTGGTAATTCTGAACCTTCTGAAAATGCTATGGGCGTTGTACAAGATCCCGTGAGCGCTGCAAGAGAAGCTCATGAAGACTCCATTAGTACAGAAGCTTCAATTGCAATGGTTGATGATACTCAAATGCCTGCTAGTTCTACCGGCTCTGAACCTTTAAGTAAAACGGATGATATAGTTCCATGCCCGCCAGGTTCCTCCCCACGCGAATCACCGCCATCTATATTTTCTTCTTCTGGTCTTTCTTCTTGGGCCAAGAGTTTTAAATTCCCGCAGCAAGATCCAAACGCTGCAGATTCTGGGATGTCAGCTTTCACAAGATTCACCTCTGAACTTGGTCTGCATTTGCCAACGAAAGGGTCTGAGGAGGTTGGTGACTCTAGATCACCAAACACACACGTTGGTGGTGCTCTTGAGTCTCTCACAAAAGCTGTGGTTGATTCATCTCGTGGTGCCGTAAAAGCAATGCAGGTGAAAGCACGCCACATTGTCTCTCAGAACAAAAGAAGATATCAGGTATGGTAATGTTGTCTTCCTGCGTTTGTTAGATTCTTGAAACTGTAGTGAGGCACATTATAGTCACAACAGCTTGTTGCAGCAACACTACCCTTTTGTCGGGAATGGGCCAATTTTATTTTATTTTTTATGAGCTTTCCATGCTGTCCAGTGTAATGCATTGATTAGATTATAGTATATATAAGTGCCCTGATCAGTATCATTTACATCTCTACTTTATATGGCACCTGGTACAATTCAGGAGGGGGAATTCGATTTGGACATGACATATATAACTGAGAATATAATTGCAATGGGGTTCCCAGCTGGTGACATAAGCTCTGGTCTTTTCGGATTTTTCGAGGTAAAATAGCTTTGCCTGGTCTGAAATATAAGTTTTCCAGCCAGTTCTTTTCTTCTCTTAGCCTTGAGTTTCTCATTGACAAATGTCATATTCAGGGACTATATCGTAATCACATGGAAGAGGTGATAAAGTTTTTTGAAACTCATCATAAGGTAACCATTGACACAGAATGGAAGCCTCTTAAACCGTATGAGTTTCTGACAACTCATCAATTCTTATAAGATTCATACAAGTTGGATTTGATTAGACATTGACGCCCAGACAAGTAGTGGTTACTTGGCTTATGTTTGATCATGTTGGTACATACCAGATCTCTAAACCTTGTCCCCAATATGCAGGATAAATATAAAGTCTACAACCTTTGTTCAGAGAGGTTATACGATGCTTCAAGATTTGAGGGGAAGGTATACAAACTTGATATCTCAGACCATATATCTTGCAGGCAGTTTCTGTTGTTGCCCTTGTTTTCAAAGCTAGTGTTTATAGACCTCTTACAGTATTTGCTCCATCACTTGTCTGATTTTCTTTTCTTCAGGTTGCATCTTTCCCATTTGATGACCATAATTGTCCTCCTATCCAATTGATACCATCATTTTGTCAAAGTGCATACACATGGTTGAAGGAAGATATCCAAAATGTAGTGGTAGTTCATTGTAAAGCTGGAATGGCAAGAACCGGATTAATGATTTGCTGTCTTCTTCTATATCTTAAGGTGAGACTTAAATGAAGCAAAGTCTTGGCCGATGCACGCATTCCTTCTCTGTAAGACTCCTGTGACTGATCTGACCGGTAACTCCATTGCAGTTCTTTCCTACAGCTGAGGAGGCTATTGATTACTATAACCAAAAGAGATGTCTTGATGGGAAAGCTCTCGTTCTCCCAAGTCAGATTGTTAGTTCTGAGCTCACACCAATCTTTGTAATGTTCTTGTTTATTTTTCCCTCATCCTATAAAATGAGCTTTCCTGTTTCCTTCAGCGATATGTCAAGTACTACGAACGTGTTCAAAATCAATTTGACGGGAAAGTTCCACCTGAACGAAGGTATGCTTCAGACATATCTGATCAATCAGGTAGTTTTATTTGTGGTGATAATCATATATCCCTAACCAGAGAACAAACGTTAATGTAGATGCATGCTCAGAGGGTTTCGCCTAATCAACTGCCCTTACTGGATTAGACCTGCCATTACGATCTCCAACCACACTGGTACAGAGCTAGTTTCTTCTCGTCTTTTGTATATTCACATATGTTTGAAAAATGCTCCATTTTCTTCCATTGAACAGATATACTTTTCTCAACAAAGAAACATCAGAAAACCAAGGATTTGGGGGTAGGCATTGTTCTCCTTGGTTCTTCTCGCTCTCTCTCTCGTCTGATGTTATTTTTTACATAACCACAACTCGTCTTGACATAGAAACTTGTGTTTGTGGGCTGTAGCCTGAAGATTTTTGGATAAAGGCACCCAAAAAAGGAGTTGTTGTCTTTGCAATACCTGGTGAAGCTGGTTTAACAGAATTAGCCGGCGACTTCAAAATCCACTTTCAAGATAGTGATGGAGATTTCTACTGGTAAACTCTCTTCCTTCACAGACGTCTTCCAAATCGACAAATTCACTAACTTTTACTGTTTTCTGCACGCAGTTGGCTAAATACTACACTGACTGATAACAGAACAATGCTGAAAGGTAGTGACTTCGATGGCTTTGAAAAGGTAAAAGAGATGTTCATAGTGTTAATGATCTAAGAACAAACCTGGTTGCTTTCCTTTAGACCTGATCCCTTGACGGTTTTTTTGCAGAGAAAACTGCCTGCACCAGGTTTTCATGTCGAGATCGTAATGATAGAACCCGACAATTCACAACCAACAAAATCCAAATCTGATTCCACCCAACAACAATCTCAAAGCAACTCCAGTGCTGATTCCAGCAAACTCAAGTCAAATGAGAAAGACGATGATGTATTCTCCGACAGTGATGGGGAAGAGGAAGGAAACTCAAAATCCACAGAGTCTTATTCAACTACCGATAAAACTTCAGACTCGATGCACATAACTAGTACACCTCATCAGATCAATGAGCCACCTAAGAGAGATGACCCTTCCGCAAACAGAAGTGTCACAAGTTCATCGTCCTCGGGTCATTATAATCCAGTACCAAACGACTCATTAGTAGTTAGTGATATTAAAGCTATTGCTGCAGACGCATCCGTCTTCTCCTTTGGAGATGAGGAAGAAGACTATGAAAGCGACTGAGCTTGAAAACTCAGGTTTTATCACAATTATCATACACAAACAAGTATAACAGACTCTGTATTGACTCTGTTTCTATATAGCTTCCCATTATAAGAGATAACAATTGTAACGATTGCAAATTGTAAAACAAAACAACAGAAACTTTTTATTGTTTCCCAATTGCATTTGTGGTTGGAGATAATCTCATTCCTGAATCTTCAACTCTTCAATTTCCTTATCAGCGTCGTATTCTAGTACTGTGACAATATACTAGTTTTGCCATTGCTTGTTCGAATATCCAAATATCGAAAGACCAAACACGGATAGAAGAAAGTTCTCTTAGATTTATAAATCAACGTCAAACCAGCTCAAACTCCTAAATTATAATGATACGTTACATTATAGTTAATCTAATCCTAGGTTGCATCATTCATCTTGAACCATTTTACGGACATATATACTAGCTCTTGATCCCGAACTCAGCTTAACGATGACCACTTTTTGTGGCAAACCCAATGAATCCTGAAAAAAAACATAACGCACAAACTTATTTCATCACTTTCAATCAGATAGTTTTGGATCCAAAAAGAGCGATTCAAAAATACCGTCATTTGGATTCCATCAACGTTTTCAAATGCTTGATCTGCGTCTTCTGAACTATCGAAAACAACAAATGCACAATAGTAACGTCCCTGTGTTTTTGCTTGCTGCCAAAAGAAAAATAGCCTAGGTCAGGGAAAGGTTTTATGTCAGTGAGCCGCAAAGAAAAAGTACATGGTTTTGATTACTCAACCTTCACATCAAGTGTAAACTTTCCAGAGAGAACTTGGTACAGCTCTTCAGATGGCACATTGTTAGGGATTTTATGTAGAAAGAGTTTTGCTTTCTCAACCTCCAACATCTATGGAGAAATTGCAGACATTTGTAATTGTTGGAATTTATGATAAAACTATATGTTTGGTAAATCTATTCTTTTTTCAAACCTCTTTAGATGGTTTGATTGTTGTGTCAACTCTTTTCTCTACAACAGCAAGTGCAAGTTTCATCGCAGTTTCTGCGTCATGTACACAATCATGAGGAACGCCGGTCTTTCGGACTTCGTAACCCAAAATAGACTGGAAAATTAATTTCAAACAGGCAAAGTACTTAAAATGTTATCTTTTTGTGATATTCCCTCAAGAGTATAGAAACACATTATAGACTTACCTTGCAAAGGTTATTAAGTGAAGGTCTTCTGAGCTTTCGTGTATTGGAATACTTGTATACAAGTGCAGTATCGATTACTTTGGGATGATCTATCTTCAACACTAGGATCAAAATATGAAAATACCCATAAATTTGTAGCTAAAACCAATAAAAAGAACAAAATCAATACCAACTCACTCTACTAGGAACTTTTTACTTACCTTCCAAATCTCTGTTCAAACTGTGACCTACCAAAATTGTACCCGTAGAAAGAAAGGGCTGCAAAGTTTCCTGCACATTTCACAAAGTTAACAACATAACGACTATACGTTAATGCTGGGAAGATAAACCAATAGAAGGACTCTACATGGTACCTGTATATCTGCCACAGAGAGTGTAGCATTTTCGATATCTTCAGCAGTAATCCCTGTAATGTCTGTCCTATAGTCAACAATATGTTTGTCCGGTTTCACAAATTCGTCAAGAATCACCTAAAGCCATTAACATTTGATCACCCGAGTCAAGAAAACAGGTCATTTGATCACACGATTCAGGAAAACAGGTCCATAACGAAAAGACGATCACTAAAAGATTCTCTAAGCTATACCTTTAAATCACGGTCTACAACACCAACTCTAACTAAACCCTCAGTCCCATCTTCACAAAGAACCATCTCACAATCAACAGCTACCATATTAGTTGATTTCATCACCTTCGACATCTTCATTCCAACATCGGACACAAACCAGTCCTGCTTAAGCAATTCAACAACTCTTAAAGAACCGCATATAACAAGTAACAAGAGCCCATTGTTTAGGAGAAGGAAACAAACCTCTGAGTATGGCTTGAATGAATAGTCTAACGCGTAATTCGGATGCTCAACGGTCAATCGAACTAACCTCTGTACTGCCAAACAACAACATTTTAAAACCTCACTTCAAACATCTTCCTAACAAACTTAAACAAATATAACAAAATCATCTCCCACCTGCTCAGGAGTGTCTTCATCTTGAGATTCTTGCTTCAACTTTTCAATCAGAAGATGATTGGCGTGACATTTCAAAACCTTAGCAGCAAAAAGAACAAAACTTTAGTGGCCAAAATTACAATCATATTGTGTTTTTCTTCAGTTCACTTACTTGCAAATCTTCTTTCTTTTTAAAAGTTGTCAGAAACTGAACCAAATCATCATGAGAACGTCTCGAAGGGTCATTTGGTGATTCAGCATTTTTGTCGTAAACATGTAAAAATTCCTTCCAATTTCCATTTTCGCCACGCAAATCTCGACTCTGCAATAGCTTCACCAACTCTTCAAGAACCTAATCGGAGAATTCAACGGAATGGTTAGATACAGAGAAGCTAATTCGACCTCACGAAAACGAATCCAAAAACAGTGACTTATTCTTTAAGAAAAATGGGAACTTTGGCCAGAGAAATTAGAGAAAGAAAGAGACGTACTTGTTTCTCGGCTGTGGCTAGTTTAAGCTCCATCGTACGAAACAATGGCGGCTCAACGATTTTGGCACAAACTGTTTGGGGAAGAAAAGAAACAGGGTTTAGGGTTTTTATGTCTTTTTTGTGAAATTCTCTTTTAAAAAATATATAATGAAATGGAATTTTTTTTTTTTTGGGGTTTTAAAATATATTTTCAGAGATCTGTTTATATGTTTTGAAGACTTTCTTATGTGTTTTTTTTTTTGTTGATAAAATTTGTTTTTTTTTTTATAAAAAGCACATAGCTTTTTAACATAACTTTCCTAAAATTCTTCTTACAAAAGTTGAAACTATAGAGTACAATTCTCTTTTCAAACCACATCTTTTACGGACGCATCGGTCTTCTCCTCTTGAGATGAGGAAGAAGACTATGAAAGCCACTGAGCTTGACAGATCCTTTATTGATCGAGTCTGTTTCTATAGATTCTGGAATTTGGCTTTTAGTTTCAGCTTCAGCTCTTCACTTTTGTTTAAATGATAGATCTTCACAAATATTAATTTTATTAGAGTTTTGTTCTAAAACTGTGATAGTGTTTATTAATTTTGCCAATGATTAGCTCGAAATATATCAAAAAAAGTCAAACAAAATACCAAAGATAAAGGATAGAAAAAAAGAACTTAGCTTAGATTTATTAATCAATGTTAAAACAGCTTCAGAACTGCAAACATAAAAAGGATAATTAAAAGAAAGTTTTAAGCTTCAACCAACCCTAGGTTACATCACCAATCTTAAGCCATTTTACGGATATAAATAGTAGCTCTTGAACAAGAAAGGAGTTTCTGTGGCAGCCCCGATGAATCCTGAAAAGCAAACATCAAAAATAAAAATAAAAATCATTTCATCACTCTGGATCACAGAGTTTAATTCGGGTCCTTTAATTTCAAAACAAATAAAAGATTATATAATACCGTTTCTTGGTATCCATTAATGTTCTCAAATGCTTGATTTGCTTCTACTGAGCTACCGAAGATAACAATTGCACAATAATAACCTCCCTGTGTTTTTGCTGGCTGCCAAAAGAAAAATACTTAGGTCAAAATAAAAAAGGGTTCAGATTTAGAGAAAAGAAGATATAATTATGGTTTGAATTCTCAACCTTAACATCAACTGCAATCTTTTTGGGGAAAAACTTTAGAGAAAGATCTTTTTTCAGCTCTTCAGATGACAGATAGTGAGGGATTCTATGTAGAAAGAGTCTTGATTTCTCGGCCTCCACCATCTATAGATAAACCAATGTAATTGTAATTTATGATTAATAAAAAGTTAAGTAAATTCGTATTTTTTGTCACCTCTTTAGTTAGTGTGATTGTTGTGTCAACTCTTTTCTCTATAACAGCAAGTGCAAGTTTCATCGCAGCGGCTGCATCGTGTACGCAGTGATGAGAAACACCGGGCTTTTGGACTTCGTACCCCAACACAGACTGGCAAATAATTCTTTTTTAGAAAGTATTAAGAATGTTATTCTTACGTGATTCCCTTTAGAGTATAGACTTACCATGCAAAGGGTATTAAGAGAAGGTCTTCTTCGCTTTGTTGAATTAGGATACTTAAATACAAGTGAAGTATCAATTACTATGGGATGATCTATCTTCAACACTGGTAACAAAATACTACTGATTTTAGCAAAAGTCCATAATAATTAACAAGAACTAGTAGGAAAATTTTAATTACCTTCCAAGTCATGGTCCAAACTGTGACCTACCAAAATTGTACCCGAAGAGAGAAACGGTCGCAATTTTTCCTGCACATTTGACACAAGACAGTCAACAAAACTTGTATGTGTTGTCTCTGGGAAAGAGACAATATGATATATTACCTGTATATCAACCACAGAGAGAGTAGCTTTGTTGACATCTTCAGCAGTAACTCCTGTAATAGTTGTCCTATAGTCAACAACAGGTTTGTGTGGTTTCACAAATTCATCAAGGATCACCTAAAGCCACAAACATGCATTTGATCACCCGAGCTAAGGATATATTTCAAAGACCTCAATAAGAAATAAAGATTCAAAACTCTCAAACTAACTCTAAGACGATATACCTTTAAATTGCGGTCAACAGTATTGAATTAAGAACTAAGAATCTAAACCCTAATGATCAAGACTTTGTGTTTATAAGAACAACTCTTCTTATTACCTTTGAAACTAACTCAAAACAAAGGTTACACAATCTCTCTTAATCTCACAACTCATAGGGTTAGCCACAACCTTGGCACCTCTATTTATACTAAAACAAAGACCTAAACATGTTGAGATAAGATCACAATCACAATTACACCGACTACTTATAAACCGACTTGTTTATAAGTTTCTTGGGCCTCAAGCCTTTATGTTGTTATCAAGTTTGATCAACATTCTCCCCTTCAAACTTGATATCTCTAACCTTCACATCTTGAACCCCTACAAGCTCCCTCATTTCCTTGAACTTGATCCGTCCTAATGCTTTGGTCAGAATGTCTGCTTTTTGTTCCTCCCCGGGAACATGTTCTAACTCGACTTGGTCATTCTCAACGCATTCTCTAATGAAATGATACCTTTTATGAATGTGCTTGCTCCTACCATGAAACACAGGATTCTTGGCAAGTGCTATGGCGGATTTATTATCTATCCGGAGTACCACTTTCTCACATGTCTTCCCTGTAACCTCACTTAGAAGATCTTGTAACCATATGGCCTGTTTTGAAGCTTCTGTTGCAGCCATAAACTCGGCTTCGCAAGATGATAGAGCTACTGTGTTCTGTTTTTGCGTACACCATGTAATAGGACAGTCATGTAGATAGAAGATATGACCTGTTGTGCTTTTGCCATCATCTTCATCAACATTGTGGCTACTGTCACTATAACCAATCAGTCTTGTATCCAGTCTTAGCTCTGTTTTTCTTTCAAAGATCAAACCATACCCTTTTGTTCCTTCCAAATATCTGAGTACCTGCTTTAATGCTGCACCATGAGACTCTTTTGGTTCTTGCATATACCTGCTTAACACTCCAACACAGAAAGAAAGATCCGGTCTTGTATGCAATAGATAACGCAAGCATCCAATACTTCTTCTATATTCTGTTTCATCAATATTTTTTTCTTCTGGTGCTTTACTTAGCTTTAAATTTGCATTCATTGGTGAGTGAACCGTATTACAGCCTTCCATTCTGGTCTCATTCATTATCTTAGATGCATATCTTTCTTGTTTCAGAGTAATGCCTCCCTCATGTTGACATACTTCTATACCAAGATAATAGGTCAATTTCCCTAAATCACTCATCTCAAACTTTGTTGACATACCTTTTTTGAAATCTAATATCAGACTCAGACTTGAACCAGTGACTAATAGGTCATCCACATATACCACAACGACGAGAAGGTGCTCCTTGGTCTGCTTTCGATACAGAGAAGGTTCTTTTGAACATTTTACAAAGTTCAACTCTTTAAGAATTGTGTTGAGTTTATTGTTCCAAGCTCTCGGGGCTTGTTTCAAGCCATACAGGGCTTTATGCAGCTTGTATACCTTGTTCTCACTTCCTTTGATTCCAAAACCCTCTGGTTGTTCAACAAACACAACTTCTTTTAACTCACCGTGAAGAAATGCAGTCTTAACATCTAAGTGATGCACTTCCCATCCATTTGAGGCTGCTATGGCAACTATAAACCTGATTGTTTCAATTCTTGCTACTGGTGCAAATACTTCTTCAAAATCAACCCCATATCTCTGAACATAGCCTTTTGCTACAAGACGCGCTTTGTATTTATTTATGCTACCATCAGAGTTTCTTTTGATCTTAAACACCCATTTTAGTCCTATTGGTTTTGCTCCATTAGGAAGATCTACTAAACTCCAAGTCTTGTTCTTGTTTATTGAACTGATTTCTTCATCACAGGCATCTCTCCAAACTTTTAGCTCTTTAGCTTCTTTAAAATCCCATGGTTCTTCATTGATTGATAACAACACTCGCTGAACTTCTTCATACTCAACTTCAGCCATTAGAACATAGTCATTCAAGTAGCCTGGTTTATTGCTCTGTCTCCCAGATCTTCTTACAGTTGGTTGTGTTTGAACTTGTTCCTGGTTTTCAATATCTTCCATATTGTTGTTGTCTGAAGCTTCATCTTCATTACTTGAGTTTTCATCTTCATTTTCTTCTTCTGTTCTGTTTTCTACTGCTTCCTGATTCTCTTCTCTTAAACCCTGATTTCCAAATTCCCCAAGACTGAATTTGAATGTTCCAGGAGCATTACTACTCTTATCTTCTCCTGAATGACTCCAGTTCCAACTTCTTTTTTCATCAAAGATTACATCCCTGCTTACCACTATTCTTCTTTTAGTTGGATCTAGAAGACGATAGGCTTTGGATCCTGGTTCTGTTCCTAGGTGTACTAGAGCTTTTGACCTATCATCAAGCTTTTTAAGATGCTGAGAATCAGTTTTAGCATAACAAATGCATCCAAATACTCGTAGGTGTGAAATATTTGGTTTCTTTCCCTTAAATGCTTCATATGGAGTCTGTGTTATCAAAGTTCTTGTACCAACTCTGTTAATGAGATAAGTAGCATGCCTCACAGCTTCTCCCCACAAATAGTTTGGTACTTTCATATGTTTTAGAATACTTCTAGTCATTTCAAGCAATGTTCTGTTTCTTCTTTCTACTACTCCATTCTGTTGTGGTGAATATGGAGCTGTTAAGTGTCTCTGAATTCCTGAAACATCACAAAAGGACTGAAATTCTTGAGAAGTAAATTCTCCACCCCTGTCAGTTCTTAGTGTTCCTATCTTGAATCCAGTCTCTTGTTCAACTAATGCTTTGAATTTCTTAAATCTTTCAAACGCTTCACTTTTCTCTTTCAGTAGTAGTGACCACATATACCGAGAGTAGTCATCTATTAATACAAAAATGTATTTGTTTTGTGCAGCTGTAGAGGGTGTGATTGGACCACACAGATCTCCGTGAATCAGCTCCAGTAAGTGTGATGCTCGGTATGATGTAGCCTTGGGAAATGTTTGTCTTACCTGTTTTCCAAGCAGACAAGAAGAACATGTTTCTTTTTCAATTTGAATGCTTGGTAATCCAATGACCAGCTCTTTGTTTATCATTGTCTTCATAGTATCTAGTCCTACATGGCCTAGTCTTGCATGCCATTTTGCTGAATCACTTACTTCCTCCAATTGTAAGCATTTTGTGGGTTCTATTTCCATAAGAACCTTATATAGTCTGTTCTTTGATCTATTAGCTTTTACTAGTAGCCTACCTTGTTTATCATATATTGTCAACTGCTCATCTTTCATTCTGATATCACAGCCTGCCTCTGTGGCTTGTCCAAGACTTATGATGCTGCTTTTTAAGTCTGGTATATAATAGACATCAGCAAGTATCTTCTTCTCTCCATCTTTACTTACAAAAAGAATTGAGCCTTTTCCTTTAATGTCAATGCGAGAATCATCTCCGAATCTCACCTTTCCTGTAACAGTTTCGTCAAGTTTAGAGAAGTAGGCTCTGTTTCCTGTCATATGATTACTTGCTCCATTGTCCAAATACCAGACATTTTCACCTTCTACTTGTCTTTCATATTGGCTTGGTTTCACATTTTTCTCGTTTAGATAGACTACTTCATGCATCATTAGCCTATCTGCTTCTTGAGTTTCTTCTTCATCATTCTCAAGTGTTTCTTGAAGTTTTAGTAGTCTGTCAGGACAATTCGAAGCATAATGTCCATTCTTATCGCACCTATAGCATATCACTTTTGATTTATCTTTTCCTTGTCTGAAAGAGCCATTCTGTTGAGTGCCAAAACGACCTCGTCCTCTGCCTCTGAAATTTGAACCTCGGCCTCTTCCTGAACCATAGTTTTCTTGATAGGTTTGTGATTCTGAGTTAAGATACATGAGTTTTCCTTGGTCTTCATGTTGATCTTCTTCATCACAAACTCTATCTTCATACACTTTTAGTCTACCAACTATTTCCTCAAAACTTGTTTTCTTTAGATCAAGTACTTGTTCAAGGGAAGCAACTATGTGAATATATTTTTTCCTAGGTACACTTTTAAGAAATTTCTTGACAAGTTTTGGTTCCTCGATGCTTTCTCCTAACGCAACTGACTTTGTTGCTATTTCAGAGAGTTTCCCTGCAAACTCATCAATTGTTTCAGTTTCTTTCATCTTGAGTCTATCGAATTCAGCCATTAGAGTTTGTAATCTTGCTTCCTTTACTCTGTCAGCGCCTAGATTTCTTGTTTTGATTGCTTCCCAAACTTCTTTTGCAGTTTCATGCTCTCCAACTTGGAGAATCATTGCTTCTGATATGGATTGAAATAACAGAACCCTAGCTAAATCATTCTTTTCAACATCGTTGTTCCCTGGTTCTATTGTATCCCAAACCTTATGAACCCTAAGTACCCCTTTCATACGCATGTTCCATACCGTGTAGTTGGATGCGTTAAGCATCGGACACTGTATAGAGGAACTACTCTCCTTGTTCCTAGCTGGAACCGGAACTATCTCAGCCATGCTTTACCTTGTGACGAACTCTGTTTCGCAACGTCTAAAGCTTTTCCTTCGATCCTAGGTTACCTAATCCAATAGTATTGCTCTGATACCAATTATTGAATTAAGAACTAAGAATCTAAACCCTAATGATCAAGACTTTGTGTTTATAAGAACAACTCTTCTTATTACCTTTGAAACTAACTCAAAACAAAGGTTACACAATCTCTCTTAATCTCACAACTCATAGGGTTAGCCACAACCTTGGCACCTCTATTTATACTAAAACAAAGACCTAAACATGTTGAGATAAGATCACAATCACAATTACACCGACTACTTATAAACCGACTTGTTTATAAGTTTCTTGGGCCTCAAGCCTTTATGTTGTTATCAAGTTTGATCAACAAACAGCGCCAACTCTAACCACACCCTCCGTCCCATCTTCACAAAGAACCATTTCACAGTCAAGAGCTACCATTTGGTTTGAAATCATCACATTCGACATTTTCATTCCAACATCGGATACAAACCAGTCCTGCTTATTAGCAATTAAAGAACCGCATAAAATACACCATACTTGGATATATTAAACAGCAAAAGACCTTTGTTTAGGAGAGGAAACAAACCTTGGAGTATGAATGAAACGAAAAGTCGACATTGTATTGCGGATGCTCAACGGTCAATCGAACTAGCCTCTGTACAACCAACAACATTTTCAAACATATTACTGAAAACTTATACACACATTCATCAAAAACATGTTTTTTTTTATTAATTTCCAACACACCTGCTCAGGAGTGTCATTAACCAGAGATTCTTTCTTGAACTTTTCAATCATAAGACGATTGGCTTGGCGAGGCATAGCCTTAACATAAAAAGCAGAGAATAAAAAACCAAAACTCATTAGTCACTACAATGAAATTATCAATCACATTGTGTAATATATCTTCACTTACATGCAAATTCTCCATAAGGACCAATCAATTTTTTCTTGAGTTCGCTTTTTCTTGTGTATGTGTTGTAAGTTTATAAAGAACCTTCACGTGATGATGTTGATATATATAGAGATATATAGAGAGTTAGTGGTTACGAAACTGTTTTAATACTCCACTAATTGTTCATTGTTGACCTCACTGAAGTGTATGAAAATTAATTTAAGAACGTAAATGTGAATTTTGATTTTTATTGAAAATTGGAAAACACCACGCTTTGATAATAAATATCCTTTAACAAAAAAGAAGAGATAAAAATAGTAGATCATATACTATTTCTTTTCTAAAACTAATGATGATGCAGCAGCAGCACTAACAAATCATATATGTTATATTATATATAGAAATGATAGTAATGTGACATTTTATAAGAAAATAACCAGTTATCAGAGAATCTTGTATTAATATTTTTGAGATTTTTTTAAGTAAAAAGAAAAATCAATTATAAAAGTATGAACATATCAATTGTCAATTATGCTGCGATTTCGAAAAAAATAACCAAAAAACAAAAGGAACATTGTATTTTGGTCGGTCAACCATTTTGTTTTGTATTACCGAAGACATAAATATGAGAAATTAATGTTTTATACTGTATATTGCTTTTTAGTTTCACGATAACAAAATGTACATAATTAGCAGTACAGTGGGAAAATAAAAATAACATTTTTCAATATTTTGAGTAATGTGCTTTCCTTGACTTGAAATTGAATGATGGAACGAATAAATGAAACAAGAAATAGTATTACAGAAGTAGGTATTTGTTTTGATTTGCAAGACCCTTGTTTTAAAAGAGATATAAAAGGCCAAATCAAAATCCTAAAGTATATAGAACCTTAAGCTTAACTAAGATAAACTGAGGTTACATAATGTCTTGGTTTTTTAAGCTTAATTTTAATTATTTATTTTTATTAATCATTTGAAGAAAGAATATAAGAAAGAAGATATGATAAATTGATTTCTACATACAGATCATTCTTTCAAATTTCATTCTACTGATTTAGAGATTAAATTATTTTATACTTTAACGTAAGTACCAATTGAAAAAAAAAAATAGCAATAATAACCTTAAGGCTTGAAAATTTGAAAATGAATTGTGAATATTATCAACATAAGAAACAAGAAATAATAATACAGAAGTAGGTTTTTGTTCTGAATGCACAAAGACCCTTTGTTTTCAATCAAATGGAACTAGTAGCTTCACTTTGAGACCATCTCCTAAACGTACAAGCAACCAAGTTCCTTCCTGCAAGTAACCCTAACTTTGTCTTTAAGATAGCTAACCCTATTCTCCCACCGCTTGCAACCCCCGCACCACCATCACCATCAGTCACCGGCAGCGGATCCTCCTCAACAACCGTCGCAAGAACTCTCTGATCACCACCATCCACAATACCCACACCACTGGTTTCATCATCATCCATAGTCACCACCAACGTCATCCTCCGTTCACGCAGCCATTCCCTAACTTCACCTGTAACCAATCTACATTTCTTCACTTTCAGTTTCACCAGCTTAGGACATCCTAAAGCCAACGCCTTGACCCCGACATCTGAAATCAAACATCCCTTGATACAGAATTTCCTCAACGCCACACATTTCTCCGCAATACAACCAATCTCCGTGTCCCCGATTGTACCACTCCCACAAAGAGCTAACCGTTCAAGCTTCTTACAGTTTGAAGCAATAGCAGACAAACTCATATACGTCGCATCAACACCGATAAGTACAAGCTCTTGCAAATTCAAGCAATGTTTAGCTACAGACATCAAACCTTCATCACCAATCCTCTTAATCCTCCAACCATCAATGTGAAGCTTTCTCAGGAACTTACATCTCTCTACAACACTAGCTAAACCTAAATTCGAGCATTCAGGGGTTTTCACTATATGCAAAGTCTCTAAATTTGAACATTTAGATATACCAGAGAGTCCAACATCACTCACTTGAAGCCTCTCCAGATGAATCTCAGTCAAAGAACTATTCCCATCTCCATTCATTTCAAGAACTCTATCCCAATCACCTAAACAACGAATGATTCTAAGTTTTTTCAAAGTTCTTGTAGCAACCAAAGATTCAAATACCTGACCATTAACAAGCTCCTTCAAACAAATCGTTCTAAGTGAAGAAGACGAACTCAGCTTAATTGGCTCAGCCAATTCATGAATTCCTCTGATTCTCTTCACAGATAACTCCTCAAGAACCTTGCAATGCTCAAGCATCGCGTTTAATCCCTTTGGACCGAAATTACAAGAGCCACACGATAGCTTCCTCAAGTTCCTACAGTTTCTAGCGAATGATTCCATACCTAGATCCGTGATCTCTCGACAACCACGAAGCTTGACTCGAATCAGATTCGAGCAACGAATCGAGATTACGACTAAATCTTCATCGCTTAAGCTAAAAGATCTCCGATCACAACGAAGAGCGAGCTTTGTTACGGAATCGAACCGATTGAAGATACAAGGCAAGAAAGGGAGAATCTCAGCTCTAGCGTCAAGTGATAACCGGTGACGATTTTGACCGTCGACGAATAACCACCGTTTACATACGAGAGAGCATCGTTTTCGATCTCCGGCGCTGAGAAATTGAAAGGCATGAGCGAGGCAATCGTCTGGTAGATTTGCCGTGAAATCGTAATCTCCGTCTTCGAAACCAATCGATTCGCAATCGAGAAATTCCGGTGAATAGAGCCATAAAGAAGTATCGCGTACGCTTGAATCCGCCGGAGACGACGGAGCTTGGCCCATTTTTGTGTGGTTGAGTATAAGGGTAAGGTTGGGTTGAGTCACGAGTCACCACGACTCGTGAGTTTTTTTTTTTTCTTTTTTTTTCAGTACCTTTCGTTTTTAATATTTTTCTTTTTCAAGTTTTTTTCTTCGAGTAGTCAACAACTATCCTTCGAGGCCACCATTTTTGTCACACGTTTGGCCCAATGGGCTTTATTCCACCAAAGGATTTGTGATTGAATTTTTTGATCGCTGAAAGAATTAGGGATACGGTTTTTTAAATGGCGATTAGTCGCAGCGCCCAGTCGTGCGGCTGTTAAACGAACAACATCTCACGATTTCAAAATCGTGGTCGCAGTCACAATCGCTTGTGATTATGAAACGAACATGGCCTATGTCCAAATGTGATGCGACCAACGACAATAATCAGCGATATGTTCTTTTCTTATTCGTTGCAACTAATTGATGTGATTTGTTGCCGGATTTCTTAAAGAAGGAAACACAATAAATTGAATATTTAGGTTGATTGTATTTATCGATGTGACTTATTGCCGCATTTAGTTGATGGTCGTTGCAACAGGAAAACATATAACGTCTGAATTCAATGGGTCAAAAACCTGAATATTCACTAATGGGTCAAAAAGGCCCAATAACGATATTAATTTGATAATTGACAAAACCATCGTTTATTTGCTTCTTGTAAGTTCTTATGCTTTAGTTACAAACTTCTTAATATATTATATATGGAATAAATTTCATAAAAATGGGGAAGCAAAAAGAAAAATATGGAGTAGTATTTGTGGTAAGAACATTTGTGAAAACTTTTGGGAAGTTGGGTGGGTTTTGCTGGAATACACTACACTATAGGTTGAACTTGAAAGTTGAATCCATCTCTCCACATCTCGCTTAGATTCTTGAGCCATCCAAAGTAAAACTAATACTATTAAAAAGCATAGTTGATATAATACAATAATATGATTTTTGAAAGATTTTTTTTTTTAATAACTAGATCTCACACAATATACATTTCAACGACAAAAATGATAAAATGATATACGAATCTAGTAGAAAGAAAGAGAGATCTTCAATTTTAGTGGAGATCAAATCAAATGTTTATATATGAAAGTTATGTTTTTTTTTTTTTTGCAAGACTCCTCTGCTAAAGTCTTTGACAAGAGGTGCAATTTTTAGACTTGTTTTTTGGAAGATTTTAGTCAGAAAGATTTGTTCCTTATATGTAAGGGCTTCTCGTTTTTTCTTCTTGTTTATAGTTTCTGATTCCTTTATTGTGTATATGAATTTGAATTGTGACATTAAAGTTTAATATTCATTCCACAATGATACTCCAAAATAAAATTGCACATTCTGACCATATCCTAAAAGATAATTCCAAGAGGAATAGTTAAGAACGTAAGAAGACTACATTCATATCCACCTATGAACATTGACCATTAAAAATTGGGAAATAACATAAAATAAATTTTGTTTCTCTATATATATTTTTTGAACAAACCTCTATTTTCTAGTTATTGTAAAATGTTAGTACTATTTAGAGAAATCAGATGGTAGGCAGCTAGCTGTATGTAACTATTATTTCAATTTGAATTTAATTTTTGGTTGCTTTAGAAATTCACCCATGCTTCAGGCTTCAGCTGTGCCTCTGTCGTGGAGTTACAATTTGATTGATTTTTATTGTTTTATGGAGTATAGATAATTTTGTATAGAATATAAATTTTAAAAATAAAGCCATGGCCCCATCACCAGCCTGTTTTTCACTTTTACCATTTAATTCTAATTTTTTTTTTTTTTTTTTTTTTTTTTTTTTGCTAAGAATGTAAATATTTCATTGATAATGAAAATGTTTAGGAATACAATCAAAGATTATAAACCTATGAGATGGTTCCATAGCAAAAAAGATAAAAACATGGAAGCATAATTTGGAAAACCACAAATTTCAGTCCATTAATTCGATCGTAAGCAATAAAGCATACGAGAACAAATGAAGTGAAAACGACTCTGAAGTTCTTCCTAATGAGTTAAAGGAGATGACCAACGACTAAGCAGCAAGAAATACGTCAAGAAACGCAAACCAACAAGCACCGGAAGCCTTTCACCGGTGGTCTGAGACTGTGATGTCAACGGTGAAGCTCTCAATGCCCTCGAACACAAACACCATGTGCGAACGACTCTTCGAACTCAGTCCCATGAGCAATCACCGAACAGAACCACACGAACCAACATTAGCGATGGGTGCGAGCTCACTCTTCCAAGATCTTTCCCCGATGTCGGCTAGCACAGAGCTACATAATTCAAGACAAAACCACACCAATCGCCCATTGGCCTTACTAGCTCCTCCATAGCTTAGATCTCGATGCTACACGATAACCTCAACTCACAAGAACCACAAAAGCAAGACACTAGCAGAGACAAGGCTTATTAGCAAACACAACAAACCAAAAAGTACCCACGATCAATGCAAATTGAGACGTGAAAAGCCACCACCAGAAGCCTTAATATCACCAACGCAAACATCACTGAGGCCTCCGTTAAGACCAAATGCATCAACCGAAAGGAAATCTCACACTTGACGCGCCACAACAGTTACTCACCATCAGTCCCGCTGCTGTCCTCAGGCAGAATTGACTCGCCGGAGAAGTTACCATCCAAATCGCCAAGAAGTACCGTGACGGCAGAAAGAGCAAAAGAGAAACAAAACGGAGAGCAGTACCTGAACCCTATCCGACTAGTAGAAGCTTGAATGGCTGAGGTTTTGATGGCCTGAGAAGCGCAGGAGAGCCTAGCCGCCGCAAGATAGCGGAGGAGATCCGTTGCAACCACCAAAAAACCACTCAAGAACACTCCACAATCTGTCGGACGAAAGAAGCTACACGGTGAAGACAGAAAGCGCTTTGAACTGAACTCACAGTGTCCACAATTTGTCGGACGAAAGAAGCTAAGCGGTTAATTCTATTTTCTGGCTAAATGTAAATAAATGTTTAATTTGTGGTAAAGTAAGAAAAACACATGTTTCAATTTTCTACAATGTGTTTTGGTATTCTTATTTTTGCATATCCTCCTGTTAAATGACTATAGAACTGCAATATTCCGTTAACAAATTCAAATCATTACAAAAATAATACTTATATTGATATGTTTTTTTTTTGCTTGTCTCTTTTTTTCCAACCGAAAATTATAGCAAGAACAGTGACGAGTGCTAAAAACGGCCAACTTTTTAGGGTTGACTCAAAAAATATGGTGAGATTCAAGAGAATTCTGACACACATGGTCATTTGTGTATATTTATCTTAATACTATATGCATTATTATGAACTGGTGCCAGTAATTAGGTTGGTGGTAATGATGTTAGATTGTGTAATAATGAGAACGTACCAAAATGATGGAAAATCATGAATATATCTAACAAATTTATTTGGATTGGAGCAATGGTATAATGTTACCTCTTACCTAACATTTTTTCATCATGCATAGTTGCTTACTATCCAAATTGAACCAACATCATGAAACCATTTTTCTAGAAATATGAATTCATCAAAGAGACTGATAAATACTCGCCACTATACGTTTGAGCAAAAATGTTAGTATATTTTAATGAAACAAAATTACGAAATGCAATTTTTTTTTTATTGTTTGTTATCTGTTGTGTTTGAATGTAAAATGCAAAAAATTATTATCTTACAGATTTTGGAATGTATAAACATTACTTTAGCTTTTATTTTATGTAAAGAAATTGTGAATATCTGAATACCATGTGAGTGGTAAGCAGTTTGCTAACACAATTGCAAAATTGACATGATTGGTATTTAATCTATTAACACAATTGCTCTTCTTTATGTTTAACTATCTTGTAATTTTAGTTTCTTAGCGCATATATCCTAATTCTAAGTGATTAATGATAGAACTACCACAATCAAGGGAGAGGTTATGAGATTATGTTAATTCTTATTGATGAAGAAGAAGGTAACATTGGCTTATATACATTCAACTACACTAAATAAACTAGAGAATCAACTTTTCCATCAATGTTAAACTAATCTTCTTCTTTTTTGACATCATATTTAAACCGATCTAAATCGATTTCTAAACAATATATTAAGATTAGTAATTATATGCTAACACAATTTCATGAAAACATACTATATTGACATGCACCAAACAAAATTTACATAAAAATGAAAAAAATAATTGAGTGGATTTAATTTTACTTTAATTTTACACGAGTATGAACTTTCAACTATATATAAATTTATGAAGTAAGATGGTATGAACAAGACTAAGTTAGCATGTTATGTTCTTTGACCCAATATGAACTGTGTTAGGTGTCACTCCATTTAGTCTTACATGTTATGAACAAGAAGACCAAAAACGCATGGGATCTTAAGTATTAAAAAAGAAAATGCACAAAACACTATAAGGGAATAGGAGCAAAGCTATGCAATACATTTAACAGCAAATGGGTGACACCTAACATCAAATAAGTTTATTATAAATGAAATATTATGTGTAGACTTATATCTTATACTAGTATTAGTGGTAGAATTAAAGAAACAAGAGGTTAGAGTAGGAGATCGAAAGTTAGCGTACGGCGTTGGTCTCTGGCAGACAAGACGCCATTATTAATTATGACCCAAAAACCTTCTTCGATCTAATCAACATAACACAACACTTACACACACATCCTCTTATTAATCTAATCAACTTCATTTTGGTTTTTATTTTATTTTATTTGTTATTTGTCATTAAACAAAAATACCCTTCTTACACTTCTTATCTTCTAGCTTCTTGACCATTAAATAAAAGGTTACCGTCCGGATTCTTGGACCATTATTATAAATAACTCTTGTCTCCTCTAGATTGCAACCTTTATTTTTCCTTATTTCTAATTTTATAATTTCTTTTAATAAGAAAACTTGTTCCAAAATTTTAGAGCTAAAGTTTTAAAGATAAAGTGATATTTAATATATATATATACACACATATATACCTTTTTAATATACGTAATTTTTTTTATAAATTTTATCTTATT